GGCTTTTTTTTTTTTTTAAACGAAGGAAACCAACCGTGAAAACTATCAGCACACGTCATCACTGTAAAAAAAATAAAACTAATCAAAAAGTTCTCTGTATACAACCCCAACCCAGAGGCGTAGCGTGGTGGGGGCAGGGGGGACAGATGTCCCCGGGCGCCAGCTAGTTAGGGGCGCCAAAATGTGCTTTGATATTATTTTATTGGTGAAAATAATGGGTTTGAGAGTTGAAAAAAAGAAAAAAGGGCGCTAAAATGGATCTTGTCCCCGGGCGCCAAACACCCTCGCTACGCCACTGCCCCAACCTTAATGCATATTATGGGAATCAGCATGATCTAACCCCCTAGCACTGTCCTTAAGAGGTCGAGCTGTCTTGGGTCCACACTCAGCTAAAATAGTTTGAGATTGCCTGAAAGTAAAACCCTTAACATTCAGTGGCGTAGGAAAGGGGGGGGGGGCGTGGAGAGGGCGGTCCGACCCGGGTGGCACTTTTTTGCCTTACATTAAGGGGCGGCATTTTCGACCAGCTGTAGATGTTTTTTTTTAAATATTTTTTTCGTGTAAACAGCTGGGAAAAGATTGACCAGTCCAAACCGGCACTGGCCCTAACTGCTAACAGTACGGAGCTGTAGGTTTTCAACTTTTCTCGCAATAATCTTGTGTGTCCCTCTGTTATATTGATGGGCTCAAAAATTATCGGCGGCCTATAATTTAATGCTAACAACATGTAAAAACTGAGGAATCAATGAGACGAACTGATCGATCCTTTGCAAGACAGAGGAATCAATGAGACGAACTGATCCTGTACAAGACAGAGGAATCAAAGGGACGAAATGATCGATCCTGTACAAGATCGATGAATCAATGGGACGAACTGATCGATCCTGTACAAGGCAGAGGAATCAGTGAGACGAAATTATCGATCCTGTACAAGACAGAGAAATCAGTGAGACGAAATTATCGATCCTGTACAAGACAGAGGAATCATTGGGACGAACTGGTCGAGCCTGTACAAGACAGAGGAATCAATGGGACGAACTGACCGATCCTGTACAAGACAGAGGAACCAAAGGGACGAACTGATCGATCCTGTACAAGGCAGATGAATCAATGGGACGAACTGATCGATCCTGTACAAGGCAGAGGAATCAATGGGACGAAGTGATCGATCCTGTACAAGGCAGAGGAATCAGTGAGACGAAATTATCGATCCTGTACAAGACAGAGAAATCAGTGAGACGAAATTATCGATCCTGTACAAGACAGAGGAATCAATGGGACGAACTGATCGATCCTGTACAAGACTGAGGAATCAATGGGACGAACTGATCGATCATGTACAAGGCAGAGTCCCGTGAAAGGAATTCACTATAAAAAAAAATACAACAACCCTTAAAAACAAAGTTTCCCGTCGAGATCCTTTATACAATTTAATATCTTTCAAATGTTGAGGGGGGGGGGGGTGGTGGGGGACTGAAAATTTGGCAAGACGTGCATACAGGTGACGCACTTTATAAGAATCCCTGTCAGTTGCCCTCCCCACCCCCCACCCCTTTCTTTTTTTTTTTTCAAGGCTCACAAGCGCACATTTTTGTCCACGCCCCTTGAACTCTATTAATGCTCTAATGACCCATCCGTTTTTACACAGCAGATTTATTTNGGGGGGGGATGGTGGGGAACTGAAAATTTGACAAGACGTGCATACAGGTGACGCACTTTATAAGAATCCCTGTCAGTTGCCCTCCCCACCCCTCACCCCTTTCTTTTTTTTTTTTCAAGGCTCACAAGCGCACATTTTTGTCCACGCCCCTTGAACTCTATTAATGCTCTAATGACCCATCCGTTTTTACACAGCAGATTTATTTCACCAAATATTACACACCAAACGCACTTGTGACATTTTTTTTTAAGAATCTCATTTAGAGCAGTTAAAATATCTGGAATTTATTTCGTGAAATCAACGTCGTCATATTTCCTTCATCTTCCCCTTGAAAAACAGGAAAATAAAAAAAATTTGGGTCGTTGGGGTTTGGGGTTGAGGCTGAAAATTTGAAAGGAATGTGTTGTCATCGAAAACGAGTCTATGTGCCAAGTTTCAGCTCGATAGGTTGACGGGAAGTGGGCCAACGGGCCATCCGAAGATTTTTTCCCAGCCAGCCACGGGGGGAAAAAAAAGCGAATCTCATTTAAAGGATTTAATAAACCACTGACAGTGGGTAAACTAAATCTCAATATTTACACTATATGAGGTGTTCATGAACATAATATACTTTTCTATGTACAGATTGTTTTCTGGAAAACGAGAGGGGTGAGGGGTGTGCTGTCCACTTGCCTTCCCCCAACCCTCACCCCCCGGCCTCACACACCCCAATATTATGAAGGCGACGTGGAGTTGTTGATCAGTGCCGTGTTATATCTGTGATTTGGAACACAACACTACTATGCCAGGAGAGTGTGTTGGTAGTGGCAACGTTCATGGAGGAAACCTACACGTTTGATCCTTGTGTCAGGACGAGAGCATTTCACTTGAACACATTTTTAATATTCTCTCTTTCTCGCTCTTTCTCTCTCTCTCACTCTCTCACTCTCTCACTCTCTCACTCTCTCACTCTCTCTCTCTCTCTCTCTCTCTCTTGGCACTCTCTGCCTTTCTCTTTTTTTCACCCTATTCGTTTTATCCCTTTCTCTCCCTCTTTCTTTCTTTCTCTCTCAGGCCCTCTCGAGTTTTCTCTCTCTTTCGCTCTCTTTTTCTGGCACTTGCTTTTTATCTCTCTCTCTCTGTTTCATTCTTTCTATCTCTCAGACTCTATCCATTTCCTTTTATCTTTCTCTCTCTCTTCTCTCTCATGCAATGCAATATCTTTCACTCTTTATCTCTTTATTTGTTATATGCTGCCAACCTCTCTCTCCCTTTCTCCCACATCATTAACTCACCAACTAACACGCACNAATGTAATTTAATCCAATGGCAGATAATTGAAGGCATTAATTTATGGGGAAATAAAATGGTGTTACGCATCTTTCTGGTTTTAAAACCCTATCTATTATGGTTCAGTGGACCGAAAATACGGTCCAAATAAAATACTACACATATTGCGCCCCATTTTTGTACGTTAATGTGCATGTTAAATGTGGTTGACAGTATTATATCATGATATCTACAATACGCATATTTTATATACATCTGTTATACACATATGTTATATACATCTGTTATACACTTATGTTATACACATCTGTTGTATTGTTAGATCAACAAGAGAAAATAAAGATTTAATATTGCTGTTATTTAAAGGAATCAAGAATTATTTTGAACGCTAAGTAGTTTGACGGTATTTGTGACTGGAATTGTGTCTGGGCCCCCCCCACCCCCACTCTCCCTGCTTCTCAACGCCTTTTTGTAAGAGGTGGCGCTTCGTCTATGCTTCTGACGACAAAGCGACGTCATCACATTTTTTGGGGGCCACCTTGTATAATCAGTGGCGACGCCATCAAATGTAACATGGCGGGTCCCTTGCAGGTCTTTGAAAAATTTGGCCGGGTCCCAAATAAATGTATCAAAAATAAAATTTATTTAAAACTTAAATTTTATATATATTACATTTTATGACGTTATATTGACTTTTGTTGTCGATAAAAATTCAAACATATAAAGGCATTTAAAATGGAAGTTCTCTTACATGGAATGCAGTTGACGCTTAATGAGCATATAGACAATATTAGTAACTAATAAAATTTTACCAGGTCATTTGCCAGGTCCCAAGTTTTTTTTACCAGATCCTGGCGCCCGGTGGGACCTGGTGTAGCGTCGCCACTGTGTATAATAATAGTGTCTTACGCCTTTGGCGCCTGCTGTAATACAATGAAACTGACAGTCACTTACCTTCAATTTCCAGACGTGATCGCTAATAACAGGTACATTGTGTCAAAACATGGAGGCTGGTTTTTGTTTGTTTTTATAAAGTAAATTTTTGTAACGGATGCCGAGAAATTATTCCCGAAAAAAAAGGAGTTGATGGGTGTTTGTGGGGGAGGGGGAGGAGTGGGCTGACTAACACAAAGAATGGTCAGCAGAGCAATTTTATTTTAAATTTTGTAATCAATCTATTGAGAAAGTGAACGGGGAAAACATGTACACTTGTGTAAATGTGACCCCTTGTGTAAATGTGCCCACCTGTGTAAATGTGCACATCTGTGTAAATTTTCCCACTTGTGTCAATATGCCCACCTGTGTAAATGTGCCCACCTGTGTAAATGTGCCCACTTGTGTAAATGTGCCCACCTATGTAAATGTGCCCACTTATGTAAATGTGCCCACCTGTGTAAATGTGCCCACTTGTGTCAATATGCCCACCTGTGTAAATGCGCCCAACCTGTGTAAATTGCCCACCTGTATGTATCCGTTTTGTTGATTTTTTTTAAATTTTAATTTTAAAACACATTTTTTGTTTAAACAGTGATCCTCCCTTCCCCCACACCCCCGGGGCCTCACTTTAGTCAACAAACATACGATGTGGTTTAAGCAAAGCAGAAGCACAACGCTTCGTACGCAACCAACCCTCCAAGCAAATTCATTGGTTACCGTACTTTTGAGCGTACCTGGCAACAACAACAACAATTCCCGAACGACTCTCTGTCGTATGCATTGAGTCCTCTCCTGACGGTGCCACCCCCTCCCCCCCACCCTTTCCCCACCCACACTCCCCGTTTTGTCGCTTAGTGTTGCGTATCCAAGTAAATATATATCAAGAGCTTTACTAAGCCTTACCTCGTTGGTGTCTACTATACAAATATTCAACACGTCCTTATTTTTGCGCCCCCCACCCCTTTTTCGTGTTTTAACCCCCACACACTACACTGGCACACAGATCCCCCCCACCCCCAATCCGGCACTAAGCTAAACCCAGAAACCCCAAGTAGATCCGTCGGACACGAAGGTGTCAGCGCGCAAAAGGGCCCCAGTGGAGAGTGCGGAAAGGGGCTGGGGGTGGGTGGGAGGGCACGTCTATTACAACCATCGACCGGTTTCAATCAGTATTGGAAATCAATCCCTGAGATAGTCCCAGCAGTGCGATCTGGCGATACGATACAGAATCATTCCTTCTAACACGAAAAGACAGTGTGTGCCCTAGATCAAAATGGTAAGTCGTACAGAGCCAATTCACAATTATCATTTTATTCATTTGTTTTTGATGTTATTGTTTTTTTCTTCTTTTGGTGTTTAGTGTTTATTACCCTATTTTTTTGTAAACACACTTAGAGGAAGATATGCGAAAATACATTGCTATGTTGGTAACTCTCGGAAAGGAGACGTAGCTTGTGGTGTTAGTTGCCACATAGTAAAACAACGAATCGCCGTGAAGATATTATACCCGACTGAAGCCCGACTCCTTAAACACGGGGACCTGCCAAGCCACGCGCTTCGAAGTCGATAAGTTGAGCACCACTCCGAGCCAATGACGTGATCGAGATAAGCTTTATTACAAGGGGGTGGATTTGAGGAAGCTAGAACGCCACTCGGACACGCGCCTCCATTAAGTGTTTCGAGATAATAGAACTCAAAAGGGGAAATCGGTTTTTGTTTTTTTGTTGTTGTTTTTTTAAGCTTCACTTTTAGTGATCATTACTGCCCCCCTGTAGTTTGTGCATCATATCGCTTGTGTATTTTTCGTACATCTGTTATCTGTGTACTCCTGATGCTTGTGTACACCCGTCTATTGTGAACTCGGTCACACGTGATCGATTTTCTAATGTGAAATCATGTTTGCGCGTGCCTGTCCTTTGTCGGTTGTGTACAAATTCCTCGTCAATTGCGTTTGATGTCATTTGTACAAATTTTACTCTGTTTTACACATGTACAAATTTTACTCTGTACACCTGTGTTTCGTTCAGCCCTGATATTTGTGTACCTCGGTCTTTTGTGTACATCTGTCGTTTATGTAATATGTCATTTGTTTACATCTGTCATTTATGTATATCTGTCATTTGTTTACATCTGTCATTTATGTATATCTGTCATTTGTTTACATCTGTCATTTATGTATATCTGTCATTTGTTTACATCTGTCATTTGTGTACGGCTCTCATATCATTTATGTACATATGTCATGTGTGTACATCTTTGATAGGTGTACATCTGACATTTGTGTACATCTGTCATGTGTGTACATCCCTCTTATTTGTGAACTCCTGACATTAGTGTATACATCCTCTTTCTGTGCCTCGTCAGTTGAAACCGCTCTGCCGTAGTCGTGTTCCATAAAACACTTATAAATTTAACATTGATCTTTGTGAAAACTTTTTTATATGTGTGTCCCTCATGTCTCTATGTTTCTGTAGCATATGTGTGTTCATCGTGTCTCTATGTTTCTATCTCAATGGATGTCCTTCATGTCTCTATGTTTCTGTAAAAAAATTGCAAAACTTCCATAAATTTACAAACAGTCCATACAAATTTGTCCTAAAATGACTTGACTGTAAGTGACCGAAATAATTTTAGGCTGTCCGTAAGAGGACGAGACATTGTACAAGCGAAAAGAAGCGGCTCATCTCGATGTTTGTGATTTCTTCTTACTGGCTTTAATACTTTTATGATCGTACAAAATGAGTTATCAAACTCGAATGATACATAATGAATTATGTTATTAAATAGGCTTAAGCCTTGTTGTCAAATGACAAAGAGTCATAGGCCCTACTATAGGACCAACTACATGCCCTACTATAGGTCCAACTACAGGCCCTATTACAGGCCCTACTACAGGCCCTACTACAGGCCAAACTACAGGCCAAACTACAGGCCATACTACAGGCCCTACTACTACAGACCCTACTACAGACCCTACTACTACTGGTCCTACTACAGGCCCTACTACAGGCCAAACTACAGGCCAAACTACAGGCCATACTACAGGCCTTACTACTACAGGCCCTACTACAGGCCCTACTACAGGCCCTACTACAGGCCCTACTACAGGCCCTACTACAGGCCCTACTACAGGCCCTACTACAGGCCCTACTACTACAGACCCTACTACTACAGACCCTACTACAGACCCTACTACAGACCCTACTACTACTGGCCCTACTACAGGCCCTATTACACAGTAGTTTGCCAAAGAAACTGTGACATTTAATTATTTATTTTTTGAGCTTATTAATTTATTTATTTAAAACGTGTCCGTAAAAAATGTGCAGATTTAGAAAATGTCTCGGCAAATTCTATTATTTGAGTTGGCGCCCCTGTTCGGTTGCCTCCGCTTGGACGAAAAACAGGGCGTTTCCCATTAATGTTAACGGCTTGACTGAACTAATCGACGATCCATAGCAGGTGGTTCTTTACCTATAGTGCCTATAGATAGTCGATGTACTGCTGACTTAAATGAGCGATCAAGATCGCAGGCCTACTTTACCTATATATAGTCGACGTACTGCTTGACTCAAATGAGGGATCAAGGTAGCACTTCAAACGATAAACTAAGTCAGGGACTCAACGAAATAAGATCTAATAGAAATGCATTTTGACACCTCCCCAGTACGTGGTTAAACGAAATCTATATTAACGTTATTGTAATAATGAAACTAGAATGCTGCTTCTTGCAAAATGAAGTCTTCTTTTATTCTCGGTTAGGAAGAGGAAGGCAAACATTTTGCTGGACCCAATTTGCTGAAACATATCCATAAATACATTGCACCTACTTACTTATATTCATATATAGCAAACCATGCACACCACTTACCGATACACCATTGTACACTGGCCATTGGGGTGTGGGGTGTTATTAATGAAACACCTTCAACCAGGACGAGGTTACAACCCGCGGCTTCTGTTTGGGAAAATTGGGTTGAAATAGGCTTCAAGGGCAACGTGCTATTTAAAAAAAAAAAACAACTCAACATGGAGCTCGACTAAATCTAAACACGGTCATTCACACAATCTTTCATCCAGTGATCGAATCCAAAGGCTTACAGTCCGCAGGTTTTAAGTAACACGGATGTCTCCCGAATCTGTCGTGCGTGGGTGTATTTGGATCATAAATCGATTTCAAGCGCCTATGCAATATTATGGCTCATATATGCGGCATAATCTCCATCAATGTAATTGCTCCATCAACTATGTGTTACTCGTGACAGAACAATTTCATTTTTTTTTTTTTTTTTAATTATTGAGAAAACCTGCAACTTCTATATTATGTCGATCTAAAACTGACGACAGACGAAATATTCATTAGACTTTACTACCGTACTTCGCTTTAATGTTTTCCAAGCAATTAATTTTGACTAATCGACCCTTGCTTGTGTACGTGGTACCTCCTACTTACTAAATGATCACGTGACCTACTGTAAGTGCCAACATTAATGCTGTTGTTTTCTTTTTTTTTCAGCCACAGTTAACACAAGAACAAGTGGATGGTGAGTTATCAGAAACTATGTGAGGCTAAAACACAGAGAGAGAGAGAGAGAGAGAGAGAGAGAGAGAGAGAGAGAGAGGGAGAGAGAGAGAGAGAGAGAGAGAGAGGGGGAGAGAGAGAGAGAGATATATAAATAGTAGACGAGTTCTTGTGGGGGGGGGGGGGGGAGGGGGGTGTTTTTTAATAAAAAAAAAAAAAGTCCCTCATGAATTTTTTACATTTACTTGAAATAATAATAAAATATATATTAAATTTCAGCGCTATTCTTGGATGAATGACCGCTAGTTACAGTAACTTTATGCATCACGGGTACTTAAAAATCAGGAATGATTCCTCTTTACGCGTTATTGGCCTATGTTGTGATCTGACTTTTATTGGTGGTAGGCCTACCGGATAACAAAAATAGACTATTAATTCCACCCGAGACCTTGCACATGAAAGTGGCATTCATTATCTTCTAGTTCAGTAAAAAAAAATTGAAGAAGAAAGTCCGAACATTGTATTTCAAAGAGGGACTAGGAAATAATTTCTGAAGAGCACACATGCGATGCACATGTAGTTATTTAACGCTCCCAGTTGAATTCAGCAGCAGCTTATAAAATAGAATTTTGGGAGTTCCTTTAACCTTAAAACATTGTACGTGCAATGGCGTACCTTGGCGTTGTGAAGGGCCGAACGTTTAGGGTTTATACATAAGACATAGAAAATAATGATGTGTATGTGCTTGCTAAGGGCAACATTTCGCCAAGTTACGCCTCTGAGTGTGTGTACTCAGCGGCGTAGCTGGTGGGTTAGGGCCGGCCGAGGCGGGCCAAGATTTTCGCCGAAAAGTGACCGAAAATGCAGTCCCTAAATATAAGGGTAAAAAACGGTGCCTCCAGGAACGGACCACCACACACCCCTTGCACCCACATTCCTTCGCCGCCGTGTACACTTCTTATTTTCCTGAGGTTAGAGCGCTAAACCTTATTTGACCCCCCCCCCCCTCCCTAAATGTGAAATTTAAGTCCAGCTACCGACGTTTTTGAGAAAATGATCTATGAAGGTGGCTCCAAATTACAGCGCTCCGCCCCACGCCCTGTGCCAGGTCTATACTTTGTTTAAAGATCTGATATTTCCGACGGTGCTGCACCGGTATTTGGAGGTTTGTAAGCAGTAGCGTAGCAAGGGTTTATGCTGCCCGGGGGCGGGGGCCAAGATTTTAGCCTCCCCTTTCTACGAAAACAACTCTCCAATTGGCCAATGGGGCAGCCCCCCCATATAAAGAAAAAAAATGCCGCCCTGGGCGGACCCCCCCCCCCCCTTACGCACTTCCCTTCCCAGCCACTGTTTCTAAGAACGATTTTATTATTATTATGACGCACTGATATTTTGCTTCCTTACACAAACGAAATGTCCAGGCTTTCGATATTGTCTGTTTCCAACATGTATTATGTTTCCCCGACAGTTTTAATTGGGCACCGGCCAGACTTTTACTGCGTCACATACCGCTTTTGCCATCGCTACAGCGCCTCCCAACAATGCGCGTCACGTGTCATGAAAAAAAAACATGGCCTATAGAGCCTAGGCCTGCCAACAACGAGACAATTAATCTTGTGTTATGGTAATATCAGGTCATTGACAAGGAAAGCCGTATTCAGTAACCAGTCGAGGCTCCGTAGTAGGAACTGCTTGATGTGAAGATTGGGGTGGTGACTTCAGTTGATCGTTGGGTTCCCAAACTGAATGGACTTGATTCATTTTAAATTTATTCTCTTAATAAACTCATTCTATGCATTAAATTTCTTTTATTGTTTACTAAAGCCCGACTAAGTTGCGCATCTAGCAAGAAACAGTTTAAATATATAAACTTTTAAAAAAAATATATTTAAAAGGCAAAACTGTACGATATAATATTTTTCAATCCATTGAATGCATATTTTTTTAAAATCACAGGCCAAATACTATATAACGGTATTTCTTGTCCTGATTTCACAGAAACTCTTATCTGTATGTAATTGTAATCAGCCAAATCTCTTTAAATGTAATCAGCCAAATTTCTTTAATTGTTAGCAGCCAAATTCCTTTAATTGTAATCAGCCAAATCTCTTTAATTGTAATACGCCAAATTTCTAATTGTTATCAGCCGAATTTCTTTAATTGGAATCAGTCGAGTTACTCCCTTTACATTCCTTAATTTAAATTTACCCCCCCCCCCCTCTCCCCCCCCCAAGGATTTTTTTTTGAAAAGAAAAGATCAAAAGAATTTAAAAAAAAAAAAAGAAATTTCAACAATGAATATCGGGTTTAATTTGATCAAGGAAGGCGCCATTGATTTCTTAAAATTCAATAGGACGTTGTCTTCGGAGCCAATAATCAATGAGTCTGTTGGTAGCAACACAGGGCAGAGGCAGGCAACAAGTTGGTCTTGGCTGGTAGAATCCTTAGGCCCTGCTTCCACCGGTTCCGTATTTCGGTCTCGTACGTCTGTCTAGCATTCTGGTGAAATACGAAGCGTTAAAAAAACAATTGAGGACAAAAAAGATCTGAGACAGTGGGCAATGAAATCTACAGGGGGGAAATCACACGGGAGATGCAATGATCGTTTACTTTGACACTGCGCCTTGAACCAACACGATGAGCTTATAGAATTTAATTATATACGCAGTTGGGCAGAGGCTTAGCGTAGATATCAGCGCCCGGAGAAGATTAATCATTGATCCCCTGATACAACTCCCTGTGTTTCTTCTACCAATCTACTGTTGAGCCCCTTACCACCAAAGCGTATGATTTTTTTTTCAAGATGTTAGATATAGACCAACCCTTAGAAATGACAGAAATTGTAATGTGTACCTACTAACCAACCCTTAAAGTCGACGGACGTTGTAATATCTACCTACAAACAAGTTTCCCTTTAAGCTGCGCGGCCGCGCAGCTAACTCACAGACGACGCGCAGCAGTTTTGAGTATCCGCTCAGCAAAGTTCCATGTAAGAGTGTGTTTTGTTTGTGGCATGTAAAATTTTGCACACAAAAAAATTGATGCTGTAAAACTTTGCACACAATTATTTGAATGATTTTGCACACGAACCAGCAAACCTTATAGGGAACATTGCCTACAAACCAACCCTTAAAATGACAGGCGTTGTAATGTGTACCAACTAACCAACCCTTAAAATGACAGGCGTTGTAATGTGTACCAACTAACCAACCCTTAAAATGACAGGCGTTGTAATGTGTACCTACTAACCTACCCTTAAAATGACAGGCATACAAAAACGTATACTCAACTCCACAGAGGCCAGAGAATGTTTCCGCATGTATGACAAAAATGGAGATGGCAGCATCACAGAGGGGGAGTTGACCACTGTCCTGAGGGCGATGGGCCAGAACCCGACCAAGGCTGAAGTCCAGAAGATGATCAGCCAACGGGACGACGACAGTAAGTAAAGAAAGTAGTGTTAGCTATTTACAGTGAGTACATCCAATTGTGTTAGCCATTTACAGTGAGTACATCCAATAGTGGTAGCTATTTACAGTAATACATCCAATAGTGTTAGCCATTTACAGTGAGTACATCCAATAGTGTTAGCCATTTACAGTAAGTACATCCAATAGTGGTAGCCATTTACAGTGAGTACATCCAATAGTGGTAGCCATTTACAGTAAGTACATCCAATAGTGTTAGCCATTTACAGTACGTACATCCAATAGTGGTAGCCATCTACTGTGAGTAGGCAACAGTTGTAAAAAAAAAAAAAGTTACACATTTACAGCCAGAACACCCTCTCAGTGTAATGAAGTAGCCATTCCGTCACAACCACAAATATCACAGGGATTCAAAAATTAATTTTCTAACTCATGCTGTGATTCAGGGGGGTTTAACATGTTGTTTTTTTTAGGGGTAGTAGGATTAGATTTAGTCCACCGGGCGCCAAAACTAAACATTCTTCCACGAGTCGACGTCAATAAAATGTGCGGTTTCGTTTCAGACAATGGGAGGATTGAATACTCCGAGTTCATCAGAATGTTGGAGAGTTCCGGATGCAAGAGCAGGCAAGAGGAAGAAGAAGAGCTTAAAAGGGCATTCAAGTAAGTTAGAGTTACAGCCCCTTGTTTTCGGTGCCTGCCGCTTCGTTCTCGAGCGATCATTTCAATTCTGACGACATTGCTGGTTACAAGAAATACTCTTTCATGAATTACACCTTCTGGCACCTACATCTATTTTTTTTTTAAATCAAGATCCTTAGAAGTAGCTGTTTGATCTCATATCCTACAGTGTAGGGTTTTGAATATAATTACCTTATTAACTCGTTGACCTTCCCAGCATAGGAGTGCGCAAATTGGTTATACTATTATTCAATGGAGCCCCGCTATAATGTGCATTCAGATATAAGGCGGTCATGATCTGGCTCTCAAAACTAACTTTATAAATTCATTTGTACACTAATTTTTTAACGGGTGGTTGGGGGGTGGGGGTGGAGAGAGAGAGCGAGAGTATGAATACAGAGGCATGGGAAGGTGTGGGACGGTCCGCCCTATAGGCGACACTTTATTCTTAATATTTATATTAAGGGACGGCATATTCGTCCAAATGCCTATTTCTTCGAGGAAGGCAGCAAAATCTTGGCTTGTCCCTGGCGACACTGACACTAGCCAAGCCAATGCATTAATTTTAAGAAATATGAAGAAAAAAAGTGTATATACAACAGAGCTCACGACAAGATTAAAACCTCAGATAAAAACACACACACACAAAAGTCCTCTCTTCCTACAATTTAAAAATACCAACGCTACGATGTAAAAACCCCCCATTAATGTGACCCCGCTAGTATCGCAATCCGATTTTGTGCCGCGTCCAAATACTTCATTGTAAGTTGAAGCGTGGCTTCACTGTCTTTATATTTATATTATGTTTTTCTGGCATCCGTCCGTCATAATGTGACGATGGTGTAGACTTCGCAGGAGGAAATCACAAGGCCTGGGATTTTAGCGTAGGTTCCCTAAACAGCAGATCACCTCTCTCCCCGCATCTGGATATACCAAGGGAGCATCATGTGTGGATGGTACAGCTTGGCACCGGTTGCGTCGCAGGAGTGTCCGGCATGTTCATACCGCCTACGGGACTCCATCTCCGGGGTTTGAATTCAGAGTTTGCCTTCTCTTAGATGAGTTGCCGTCCAAGGTTAACGAGTCACATCCATCCGGGGTGCTGGGGACGTTTGCTTGTCCGGCCTTTGGTGCTGGGTGGACGATCTTTTTTTGGTGCTGGGTGGACGATCTTTTTTTGGTGCTGGGTGGACGATCTTTTTTTGGTGCTGGGTGGACGATCTTTTTTTTGTGCTGGGTGGACGATCTTTTTTTTGGTGCTGGGTGGACGATCTTTTTTTGGTGCTGGGTGGACGATCTTTTTTTGGTGCTGGGTGGACGATCTTTTTTTGGTGCTGGGTGGACGATCTTTTTTTGGTGCTGGGTGGACGATCTTTTTTTGGTGCTGGGTGGACGATCTTTTTTTGGTGCTGGGTGGACGATCGGTCTAAAATGACTAATTCCAAAACCTCGTGGTCTAGAGTTCAATCCCCAATATATATATCATCATTACTATTTTTAATGTAATCCATAAGTTGTTTATTTAGCGCGAATGCAATTAATAAATTGTCTTTTCCATGCTCAGGGTATTTGACAAGGACAACAACGGATTCATTACAGCGCACGAGCTGAAGACGGTGATGACGTGCCTGGGCGAGAAAATGACCGATGAGGAGGCCGACCAGATGCTCCGAGAGGCAGACAGCAACGGGGACGGCAAGGTGGTGTACAAGGAGTTCGTTAAGATCATGACGGCGAAGCACTGAGCCTCGGTTTCATCTACATGACGGTTTTTTTGTTTTTTCTCTTTGACTTTTTTTTCTACGCGGTAAAGAAGGACCATAAAGACAAAGGATTTTTGTAATGACCAATTTTCAGCCCACATTTTTCGTGTTGTACTGCGAGGACGAATTGGATTGAGAGTATGAGTTGTTGTTTTGTTTGGTACTTATCATCAACACTTCTAAACAACATCATTTGTGCATGCTTTCATTTAAGTTCATGTGTATGCATGTCATGTTGTCGCATCACTTGTATTTGTAAGTTGTTCAATTTTTTCAAAGCAAAAAAAAAAAATGTGTTGGAATCATTAAAATGAAAATATTCATTAAGATATATATATGTTGTTTTCATCTTCGATTTTTCCCGTAAGATGTAAATTTACTGTCACTGCTAATGCTTCCTCCTTGTGCCAAGTTTTGCGGCGAAAAAAAAATGAGATGTGACTTCAAAGTGCCTCTTTGGTTTTGTTTGGCATCGATAAGCCTGTTCATGTGACAGGTGGGAGGAGTCATGTGACAGGTGGGAGGAGTCGCAGAAAAAAAAGAAGAAGGGGGTGGGGGAGGGGGGTCTGATATTGGTTGGATTCGAACCCATGACAAAAAGTTTACTTTTCATAAAGCTTACTAACTTAATTTTTTTTTCTTTTTTTCCCATAGATTTTCTGCGATATTTTTAAATGGTTCAACTAAAAAGACTAATTAAAAAAACATATCAGGGGTTGATTCAAATTGTGGTGCTCCAACTAAATCTGTTCAGATATCATGGGCATAAGACAACAAATGATAAACTATGAATGTCATTATTTTCCTTGGGCGTAAAGCATGAAATTTATCACCATGGCATTGAGACTACACAAACAATATCATATGACAAATGTTGCTTCCTGGCCATAAACTGTCTCCACAGGCTTGTGATGCTGGTGGATGTATATTTACTGGATGGTATGGTTGAAGTCAACTGAACAAAAAAAAACAACAACTGAAGTTATGTTAATTTAAACTAATTATATTTTTAAAAATCTGTAGACATGAGCAGATAGTATGTTTAAGTTTTTGGGAGATTGTTACTCAAACTGACAACTGAACATTTTCACACACCACTAGTCTTGTATGTGACAGTTCCGAGTGATGGTAATTGTTCAAAGATGTTCTCTATGCATGCTCATTAGCTGAAAGATTAAAATGACTACTTACTTATGCCTTTCTTACAGCATAGAGGGGCATCTTGGGGCATAGGCCGTTTACAAGAATGAAATGAAAATGAACATCCGAACAAAACAGTTTCAGGAACAGATAATGTATTGTTGGTACACTTCTTTAGTTGTGGTGTGTGTTCAAGCCTGTGCACATATGCTTAGAATACAGATGGGGGAAATCTTGGCACTCGATTCATCTAATTTTTGTCAAACAATAGACAAGTTTGCAGCCATGTTCTTCACTCTTCAGGGAATAAACATGCGTTTATTTTTAAAACAATCTTTTTTTTCTTCTTCCTGCACCAATTTGTTTTCATAATTGTGTATCAATTATTTGAATGGCTTTGACTTCTTTCCAAACGTGTACTAAAGCGTCCTTCATTAGGAGATGTGAATTCCAAATGGAATAAAACTTTCAATACAGGCATTCAGTTGAGTATCTAGGGTTGATGCAGCCCGGGGCAGGTCAAGCTTTTTGCCGACCCTTTTCAAAGCGCCTCAAATGCAGACCCTCAAAATAGGGGGAAAAGTGCCACCCATGGAGTACCGCATGCTCCACACCCTACTTCCTATACCTGGCCAGTGGAGACGTTTTTTGTTTTTTTACATTGAGCTCTAGTGAAAAATACATGAATAAACAAGAAGTTTACAAACTCATGAAAGGATTAAATTCTTGAAAGTGAAAAATCGATGTCTCAGCAATTTTCAGGCATTGGAAGACGGAGCAAAATTTAAATAATCATGGAAAGACAGTAGGGATCCTCCCAATTGGCGTAGAATTTGAAGAAAAGTTGAAAAAGAAAGAAGAAAAAAAATCAAGAAAACAGCAATATAAATCTGTTAATGAAATATTTAAAATAAATCATGAACACAGAGCATTATTTAAAAGCAAGCAATTTAATGCATCTCTTATGAAAATAGTTATATCATTATGAAGCTCGGTCTCAAGGAACAAGTTTCAGAAGTATAACAATAAATGTCATTATTGTTGTTCTCAAGCGCCAAAATTTTTGTATGGTACTTGCTCATATCAGAATGTTACAGATTTTTTTCTCATACTGGTAATATAAATTTTAAAAAAGGACTTTCATGTACTTTTTTAAAATTAAAATTGAAAAAAAAAAAAAAAAAATTTTTTAAAAAAAGGACATTCATGGATCATATTTAAAAGTAATCATATACGGTAATCAAAATCTTTCTACATGTGGAAATAAAAAATACAGTCAGTGGTGTTCAATGTTACAAGCATATAACTTTTGAGATGATATAAAAAAAAACAAAAAACTACAGACTGATTTCAAATTAAGAAAAAAACTGTATCAGAGAACAGAACACAACTTACCAGTGACATTTAAGCTTTTGTCCTTGTGATCATTCATTTAGCAATGCACCAACTACTGCCATTAGGGGTAGGATGTAACAGTGAAAATATTTACTATATACATGGCTTTAACTCTCTAAACCTATAAGTCAGGTCCTCCAAATTTACAGGAGAAACTAAAAAGTTAATAACTTTTTTTTTTTTTAACTTCAAAAACATTTGGGTTGAACACGTGATGAAAAAAATACTTTTCATTCACTTTTAACAATATTTTTACATGGCATGGGAAAGCCCTCAATCAAAATAAATAATGAAAAAAAAATTGTGACAAAAAATCTGACTTGAGCATTCACAGAGTACAATTACAATATATAATACCCAATTCATTTGCTGTTTGCTTTGCTCACTTTTCATACCGCCGTTTACTTTGGCTGATTAAAAAAAATCTCTTAAACTTCCATACCGTACATAAGTGTTGATGCACACATTTAAATTTCACACCTTATTTATATCACAGAGCATATTAAACTTATATTATTTTGATGCAAACAGAATGTAGAGAAAGCAAATAGCACATTGTCCATGGCTTAACATGTCAAACACGACTCCACAAAACATATACAATAGGATCCCCAAACACAGATTTAAATATTCTCACCATAATCCAACCGTGATATTGTCTTTAATTAGGCTGTTTACAAAGTACAAAACAGTTTTTTATTTAGACAGTTTTTAATTGATTAACTCTCTCTAATGTACATTTAAAGAAATAAGACAAAATGAGATTAGTAAAGATTTATTGAAAACGGTAAAATAAAGCAATGAGTGTTTCAAATTAAATTTCGTCTGCTCTAAAAGGCTTCAGCCAAAAAAAATGATTACTCTGTAAATCTGGCCCCTACTTTATTATGCGCATAGATATTTTCTTTAAAAAAAAAAGCTTTTCCCCATTAATTAAAAAGTAGATTCAACTTGAATTATTATAATCAGTTAAATTAAGATCTATACCCTAACATGAGAATTTATTAAACAATTTTTAATCATCTGTAGCAAACAAGGATATATGTCAGATGTGTTTATGCAACAAACTGTTACTTTTAGAGTACAAAACACATTAAATGTTTAAGGGGCATTCACTGATGCTTGGAGAAAGAGTTTTTACTTGGGTAACTGGTTTAAAACAATTGCTAGATAAAAAAGGGTGTTAAAAATCTCAAAAACAACAAAAACACCACAGCTGGGGTGAACTTGTCACTAACTATTCAATGTAAACATCTGGTTGTATAGGAAATGTAGAAAACAAACAAACAAATCAATTTTTAAAAAAAAATGACAACTGGAAAGTGAGCTTTAGAAACCAAGAGCAGAAAACATATTGCAAAACTTATAGTTTAGTCTATGCTACTACAGTACATTAATATTGAACATGTAAGATGGACAGAGGAGAAAAATCTGACCTGTCAGTACAATGACATTAGAGCAACCCTGCTGCTTAATTCAGTAAATTGATTTTTTAACAGCATCATCCACACAAACAAAAGCGGGGACTTCCTTCACAAAATGACCTGAAATATAGACCAAAGAGTTACACAGTCACTACTGACACCTGATCAATTTAAGATCATCTTAATAATCCACAGTAAATGAAAGGGACGGTCACAGCTACAAGGATCGACCCTTAGTTTACAAAAAGATTTATAATTCATTTGTTCACAAATCTCTCGGGATTTACCAAGGTCATTGTTAACACTTTCAGAATTGTTCTTAAATCAGTAAGAGCATCATAGTATGTGGTTCTGACAACAAAGAATGGTTTGTATTTGTGTTAGAAAAACTAAATTTGAATTTGTCTCACATTAAAATTGTCCTATTTAAAAATTAATTGGTCAATCAGAATCTGTTTGATTTACAATGTGAATAAAACAGGTTTCCATTTGTTTGGATCAGTATAAAAATACTCTCTTATCTTAAACAAATTTGGGAAACACCAGCCAACTTGGCATGGGATTAAAAAATTGTCTGTCTATACTATGCTAACACACACACACACACAAAGATGGCTACCAGAAGTGAGAAAAAATTAATGAGATATTCAAAGAGAAAACTCGAGGACTTTTAATATGTCATTATGCTATGCTTAAGAATCAGCAGGGTTAAAATTTATAACATTTTACATTATGACTACTAACATTAAACATTAAATTAAACATTAAAGCCGGTGATAGGATTGTATTCATCTCTTCATTGTACATTAGATGTGCCAAAATCAGTGAACACCAAGTTTAACTCACCTCAATGCCGAATTCTAAAATGCCTAACAAAAGTTTCCACCACATGGGCAGGTCATCTTCTACTCGCTCCTGAAAGCTGTGACCGTCACCAGAAGATTTTGAGGCTCTTTCCTCGTAGCTTTCCTCATTAGGGGATCCTCCCTCCATTTCCTCATAGTAGTACCTTCGGAGCAAAGGAGGATGAATTGTTATTACTACTGTATCTACCGCTGTCAGTTCAATAAATAGGAATGGGAAAAGCTTTTTATTTTTAGGCCTGAAATTATATGGCAAATCCCGCATATCAAAGATTTCTTGGGTAATACTTAAGCTTAAATATTCATTACCTAACATGAGATAATATTAATATCAAATTTCTGATAGGGAAAAAAAAGGTTATAAGGGAAAGCAACTGCTGGCAGAATTTAAAACACAGCTTGCTTAATTAAATAATGAATGAATATTATTAACATATTAAAACATTTAATGAAAAGTAAACTAGATAGAAATCATCTTAAAGAAATATTGTGTTATTTATTTTTTTGAGGAGATAACAGTATCTTTGCAAATGCAACTGATAAGGATAACTTTGAATAACTATTTAAAAAATATATAAAAACTTAAAATAAAGTGGTAGGCACTTACCCTGTTAACTTAAAGTTCTAAGAAAACTTAAAGAAATTCTGGATTAAAATAAACAGAGTTATGAAAACAAGATACTGTCAGAAAATAGAAAACATTTTTTTTTTAATTGAATCAATTTATATACTCCTGATTTTTGCAAGGCAGAGTTTCTCCATTATATTTCAGCCTAGTGAAAATGAATTAATCTGTAAGAAAATATAACCTCTCATACTTATCCACAAGTATTTCATAATCATCTACCACTGGGTCATCCACTTCCAAAATAGTGAGTCGATACTTTGAGTGAAGATAGTTTGGGTGACCGAAAAGAGAAATGTAGACAGGTCTTGACATGGCTGAAGGTATTGAAATCACATCAAGGCCACATGTTTCTGACTTGAGATCGTAGGTTATGTAGTCAGGGTGCTGTACCTGGGAGAGGACAAAAATTGTTGTGCTCTATTATAAAAATAATTGGGGCCATATTTTATTAATATGAATAGAAAATCAATTTATTTTGATAAGGTTATGTTTTCTAATTATTTAATTTTTTTTATTAAATATTGCCTCACATTTGAAGTAAGAGTAATTATTTTGTAACATGCTCCATAACAAAAGTTAATAAACATAATATGAAATTTTGAATTTTGTCATAAACATTTAATTCAAATAATTAACAACAATGGTTTACTAACAAAAACTGCATAGATTTCTTTTTTCCCTGATGTAATCTGATAGAACTCTTTCAATCTTTGATTAATGAGTTAATGCAAAGTTAAAGTTTAAAAACTGAAAGATACTCATACCTCGCCACTAATATACACATCAACATCACCCATTAAGCTCCTGAGTTCAAGCCTTAAAGTACCAGTGCGTTGGAGTCGATAATATGTAAAATTCTCGGCACCTATTTCATCTTCAAGAGTTTGAATAACGCGATCACTATAATGGCCTCGACATAAAACTGTACTTAAATAGTTGAACACAAAGAAAAGCTGAAACATCCAAATCTCCCTGAGACTTATCATTTTCATTTATAAATAAGTGAAATGGAAGATAATATACCTGGAAAAAGAAACAGAAATAGTTAATTAAACTTTAAGTTTTACATATTATTATATATATCATTTTAAATAATTTACTGTCCATTAATAAATTTATTTATTTGTCCATTATTAATAAAATAAAAAACCATGCCATTAAAAACATGAGAAGCCGAAGCACTTCATTTATCTGCATATTAAATTAAAATTATTAATTTTAAGTTTTAAACATGACATGGCTGACATGGTAATGGTGTTTAAAACACATAGAATGGATAAATCAAATTACCCAAATGAAAATGGGTCATATTTTCTTTAAATATTTTAAGTTGCGTTCAAAAGACAAAAATGTAAAACTACCCTCACACTTACAGACCGAGACTCTATTCTATAATATAGTGATTCAGCCACAGTCACACTCTGAAATTCCTCGGCCTCGGTCCTCAGATCTCTCTCACTAGCAGGAAACACTTTATTAGAGTGACTTTAATCGTAAAGATTTTATCAAGAGAAGAACACACGAGTTTCAAATTTTTTCAAAGCTTTGTAGTAAATTATGTGCAAACACTCATTTCCCCGCAGGCTTTTCTAAGTAAACTACGACGTTTTTTTCCCCCCCACAAAGTGCGTTAAAGGAGTTATAGTCAACAATAAATCGAAAGTTAAATGAACATATTAGCACTTCCGTCTTGAGTGTAATATTATGTACGTCACAAAAAAAAAAAAAAGAATTCTTAAAAAACTTCGAAATAAAGAACGTGAACAAAACACTGCACTATAATGAATACAAATTTAGTTAATATTCTAAAACTACGACGTTTTTTTCCCCCCCAAAAAGTGCGTTAAAGGAATTATAGTCAACAATAAATCGAAAGTTAAATGAACATATTAGCACTTCCGTCTTGAGTTTAATATTATGTACGTCAAAAAAAAAAAAAAAAGAATTCTTAAAAAACTTCGAAATAAAGAACGTGAACAAAACACTGCACTATAATGAATACAAATTTAGTTAATATTCTATATTTGCATGCATATTTAAAAAATATTTTTAAAAACAATGATTTCTATTCAGATGGGTTAATTTTTGGATTTGGGTTTACAAATCTTTTTCCTTAATATATTATGAGATTATGAATGTTGTTTCGGTCCTTTCTTTTTATTACACGAAATTGTAAACATGACACCGTAGTGAGACAAGCAAAAGCTTATCAAATAAGAAGTATAAGAAGTATCAAAATTCATCAATTATGATTCAAATAATCTCCAGCATCAATTGTAAAAAAAAAAGAAATTGTTATAATATCTTTAATTTCATTAATTAATGGTTGAATTAACCATAGTGTGAGATAACTCTAATATTATCAGACTTAGTACTTTTATTTTTATTAGTCCCATATAATTCAAATTTTAATTACATATAATATAAATTAAAATAATATTCGTATTTTATTATTATTAATTTTATATAAATTTAAAAAAAATTATAAGTAATATAATGGCCGGATACAACTAATTACTAACTACTATTGGTAAGGTACGTTCACACTCCATGGATTTATTTGAAGGCATAAATCTCAGGTTTGAATCCATGTTGAGAATCCACCAAGTCCACTGCTATTTATTGATGGCTTACAATCTCCAGAAACTCTCTTGACTCTTGAGAAACTCATGACTCTTGAGAAACTCATGACTGACACTGACAGAGATATCAAAAGTCGTGTTCACAATGCTTCTGACCCTGAAGTGGCTCATCAAATGAATAAAATTGTCTTTTTTCATTTAAACGTGCCATACAAAAAGAAAGGATAAATAATAATTTTAGTGTTGTATATAAAATATATCTGCATCATGATCACAAATCACTACAATTGCAAGCAGGGGGGCTAGGATGGGGTTAGTGGTAAGGATGGTAATGAGGTGAACAGTTTGTAATATATATTATATAGTAGGGCCTATAGGTCATGGAGGCTGGAGGTTCCCTGGCCCCAAGTCAACTACCAGCCATAGTTCCATATTCAAAAAATTTTGATCTATAGCTTTGTCTTTACCAGTATTTGTTACCCTGTACAAGTTTTTCTTCCCTGTTAATTTTGTCTTGAAATTGGGGAGAGGTCTCCCAGCCCAGAAAATTATGGTAAAAAGTCCAGTGAAATGTTAACATGATAGAAATGAATAGCATATGAGTACCGGTATCTCAATTTTCAACCAATCAAAATTAAAAGACAGCACCTTTAGCGCATATTTCTTTTTTAAATTTGTGTATTTTGGGCTGTGGTATCAGCAAGGATGTGTTCCTTTTTTCGTTTCTTTTTAACATTGTGAGTTGAATTTTTATATAAACGAATGGAACTTCTTATTTCAATATTTCTCTATTTGTCATCAGATTTAGCCTATGTCACAAATAATGCTCAGGGAAGAATGGGAAAGTTATCATATACACTGTTCAGCTCAATCAATTGGTCTGTTCACCTTAAGTCCAGTATTGAGATTTCCCAAAGTGTGGTCACAGCGCTTAGGGTAGACAGCTCTTGGCAAAACACATACCGCTAATTCAATCTTTACCAGGCAGGGCTGAAACTGGAAGTTAACAACCAATAAAATAATTTTAAAATACAAATAAAGAGAAAAGAAGAAAAAGCAGGGAACCATTTAAATAAGAAAACACACTTTTGAAAAAGTAAATCAATTCAAATACGGTATCTAGGGGCCTTAATAAAAGAAAGAAATTAATTACTAACAGAAATAAAGGAAAGAATATTGGCTGCAAACAGGGAATACTTCAGTAATCACAAAATGCTAAAAAAATAAAAACATAACCGCTACAAGAAAAACAAAGAAAACTATTTATGTAACTTTTTAAGACCAGAATCAACATACGCCATTAAAACTTGGACCCTCGCAAAAAACAGTAGTAAACTTATTTAACACATGGGAAAGAAAAGTTATCCTGAAAATATATAGATAAACTTAGAATAAATATGGATGGAGAAAACAAACCAACTACGAATTGTATGGACTCTAACTGGATCCCTGGCTAGAAGTAGCAGAAAAAAAAAAAAAAAGGCAGGCTACGCTGGGCTAGATACTAGATAAGATAGAATGCCAAATAACAGGAGTGAAGAGGGCACACCAATCAAACCACAGAAATAAAATGTATCAAAGGCAGACCTAGGCTTCAATGCATAAATGATGTGGAAACAGATCTACAACAGCTGGAAATCCAAGCTTGTAAAATATATGTATTATGTCTGATTTGAAAAAAGTGGTAAAGCAGGGCAAAGCCTTACATGGACAGTAATGCCACAGGGATGGATGTAATATAACTGATGATAAACACTGTTGTATGTGGGTGCAGAGAAGTAGCTACCCTGTATTTTAAGGCACTTACCATTAATTAATTAGGATCAAGTTAGGAAAATCTCTACATTTTACTGAACAACCTCTCAGGTGGGAAAAAATATCTTTAAAAAAATTTTAAGCTAAGTCCATTTTATCTATCCATTTTGGGGCATCTATCGAATACAACAAATAATTTTTAATAAGCCCTATCAGCTGATGACAAAGCATGCTGAATGATAAAAATATGATGGGATTGTGTCAGTATACTGCCAGCTGACGATATAATGAACCTCTCAGCAAACCTTTGAAAATGAAACTTGTGGGCTCAATGTTTTATACAGAGAGTAGAAGATGGTCACAGAAATCTTGTGATTTGTGTTGCTACAGCATACCCAGCTGGAAATCTCTGTAACAAATCTGAATTGTGAATGTACAAAAAAGTCTAAAGCCTACAAAAAGACATTAAAAAAAAATATTTTTAAATTTAGAAGAGTTTTCAACAACATGTGCACCAAGACTATAATTTCTATATCATAAAATATTGCTTTCACCAAAAATGATTAGGACATTTATTTTACTTGGTAAAACATTTGCTTATTAATAGTGGGCTTACATGATGTCTGGCACATGAAGTCAGTCGAGTCTCATGATGAAACCTAGGCCCACTAGGCCTACCTTCACCACTCTAGTAAGACTAGTAGTAGAGAAAGTAACTCATAGTCCTCAAAGTCAAAGTGGTTTATTTTCAACTTCAAAGTTAATTTTCAAATATATTGTTAGTTTTTTGTTTTTTAAAATAAATATTTGAAGTTGTTTAACCAACAATAACAAGTTTAGTCCCAAGATATATATATATTTTTTTAATGAACTCTTAATTTCTCCAATGCATCTTTTCAAAGTTTAAATTTTCACTACCTGTAATGAAAACAAGAGATGGATATTAACGACAATAAAGACTCCTTGGAAGATTATTCCCTAGACAGATCTTCGGAAGAAATGAATGATCTGATAAGCAATAATGGAGTAAGTGTCTCAAGTCTTTATTTGATATCTTTATTGTGTGCTGTCGTCTTGTTCTTAATATATATTTTACATGCTCATTTTATGATATACATATTTAATGAGAAAAAACAACAGAAAACTGCTTAAATTGTTAAAATATACTAGTTGTTAGGGGACCCATTGACATTAACTCAATGTACAGGTATAAAATTATAATGAATGAGAATGTCCAGTTCAGTTTATTAATGAAAGGTAGACCTTTATATTTTGAAGAGTTTTATTACATTTCCCTTTTTTTTACTGAATTTCACACAACATTTATGTAACAAATATGAAATGTAGGTTGTTCTTTTGGCCTGACATATTTGACAACATTTATTATAGGCAATGTGCATAAATGAATTACTGTTTAAATCTGTTGTGGTTTATTTCTATTTTCTATGCAGGCTTTCTGCACAAAAAAAAACAACAAAAAAGGTGGTTTACCAGCCCCATAATGCTACACATGTACAATATTGCCGAGACATTTAATGAATACTTTATTTAATTTTTTATTTGCAGGAATGGGAATATGCTATGAGACGAGAAATGCAGGTATGGTGGAAAATATTGATTAAAATTTAAATTTAAAATGAATTATTCCAGTTGATAAAAAAACAGCTTGACATTTGAAAGATATTTCCTAATTCTAATAACAGCATTTGAGTTTGAGATTTTTAAAAAAAATTAATAATTTACACAGGAGCTAAGCATTTTTTCCACATGGCAAGTGTAAATAGAATCTGGTGTCTAAGCTATCTGTGTGATATTTTCAAATTAAAAATTAAAAATACCTTTTAAATCCCTTGATTGTTGCTTATTACAAAAATATTAATGGCAAAAGTAAGCCTTACATTTGCATATGAATCACTTCTTTTATAGAGATGGAGACAGATGCTTGACGATTGGTTACTTTTAAAGATTTTGCTCCTTTACTTTAACAAATAATAAAATGTATTATATTTATATGTAAAATATTGATAATTTAACTAAATTTGTAAAATTCCAAATCTCTTTCATATTCTAAAGGAAATCATTCCAGGATTGTTTCTTGGTCCTTACGCTTCAGCAATGAAATCAAAGGTATTAAATGTGGAGATCAATGGTATTTTAATTAATAAAAACCCACCTAAAGTTGGTTAATTTTCCCCACTAAAGTGCATTTAAAAAATAATGTGTGTCTCTGATAGCCTGTGTGGTTAACTTTAATTAATGTATGTCTCTGGTAGATACACTGTTTTTTTTCCTTTAATTAATGTATGTCTCTGGTAGGTACACTGTATTGTTTACCATGATTAATGTGTGCCTCTGGTTGACGTTATTGTTTACTTTGATTAATGTGTGTCTGGTAGACTGTATGGTTTACTTTAATTAATATGTTTGCCTAGTTGACTGTATGACCTACTTTGATTAATGTGTGTCTCTGGTTGACTGTATGGTTTACTTTGATTAATGTGTGTCTCTGTTTGACTGTAGAGTTCATTTTGTTTTTCATTTTTTAAAATCAACAATCATTGGTGTGACTTGACATATTTACTACATTTTTTAAATCTCTGCACTGCTCACCACTGTTTCCCAAAATACAATGTCTATTATCTATATTATTATATATATAACTATGTCACCCTTCCTCTTCCTATATAACATTTCACAGCTCGATACACTACTGAACACAGGGATCACCCACATAGTTTGCATCAGGCAGTCCATAGAAGCCAATTTTGTCAGGCCAAACTTTCCACATCAATTCAGGTACACATTTGCAGTATGCTCTTTGCTATAGTAAATTTAAAAAATGCGGTGTAAATACTACATTTCTTTAGAAAGTGGTGGGTGTCATGTGACAGTTCTTCAATATACTTTTGCAAAAGTTTCCTTATTTATGAATTTTTTTAAAGAAAAGAAATGTCAGTCCCACTCTTAAAATTAAGCATCAATCAATGGAAGGCACTAAGTTTATCCTTGTTGTCCATCATGTGCTTTTAGTGTTTTGTCATTTTCATTTACTCATAGGCATACAAAATAGATATTTTGTTAACTTTCACTGAACCAAATAAACCAGATAAATTACTAATGTTGATCAGCCTCGTATGGCTTGTAAATAATCATTCTTACATTTACATGGGCATTAAAGGCTTTCTTGTTGTATCAGGTACCTGGTATTGGACATGGCTGACTGTCCAACAGAAAACATTATCAAGTACTTTAGACAAGTAAGAGGATTTTTTTTTTTTTTGTGTGGTAAATTGCTCAAAGCCATGATTTTTTTTTTCAGCATTTGCTCCTATTCTAATTTCAATAAACATAGCCGTCCCATTCAATTCAAGGTGGATTTGTTTTTTTTTTTTTTGGTTTTTTTAACCCCTCCTGTTTTTATTTTGGTTCTAATTTATTAATAACTATCATTTTTTAAAATTAATTACAAAATTTAATACATTTTTATTTTTTTTTTTTTTGTTTGGTAAATTGCTCAAAGCCATGATTTTTTTTTTCAGCATTTGCTCCTATTCTAATTTCAATAAACATAGCCGTCCCATTCAATTCAAGGTGGATTTGTTTTTTTTTTTGTTGGTTTTTTTAACCCCTCCTGTTTCTATGTTGGTTCTAATTTAGTAATAACTATCATTTTTCAAAATTAATTACAAAATTTAATACATTTTTGAGTACACTCTTTTCATTACCTAATGGAATGATCAAAGCTTGGTGTTGTGGGATAACATTTTCCCAAACGAAATCTCAATGAAAAAAATGACTTCATTTTATTTTTTTAAAATCAAAAGCTGCAAGAGTTGAGGTTTTAAATTAATCTGCTAACTATGTTGTGTTTTTTTTAGACTAAAGAATTTATTGATGAGTGCCTGGACAATGGAGGCAAAGTTCTTGTTCATGGCAACGGTGGAATTTCTCGAAGGTAATTTTAAAAAAAACAACCTTTGGTCAGTTTCTTGAGACGTAGGCATAATCAAAAACTATTTTCTGCACATGTTTTTGAAAAATAAAATTTTCCTGTGTTTTTTTTTTTTTTAAATACATGTAACTGTGTTAAGTCGTGTCAGTTTTAAGGGTTATAATAATTTCTAAAATAATTTAAATATCTGAAAAGATTTATAAGCCCATGTCATTGTAAAGATGCAGTTTGTTTAACTAGTCTGTATTTCTTGCAGTGCTGCTGTAGTTATTGCTTATGTTATGGAAAAATGCTCTCTGACATCAAGGTATCTTAGCAATTGATACATTTTTTTTTCTGTAGTAATTGAATAAGAGGATATTATTGGAGATTATTTAACTCATAAATTCCTCTCATTGCAACATGTATGCTATTTTTATATTAAACTTAAACCCTCTTTGCACAGGCTATAAACCTAAACCTTCTTTGCACAGGCTATAAACAGTTTAATTTTGTCTCTAAGATTATCAGGTGTTTGTGGGATTGCATGTTAGCTTTTGTCATTTTATTTTCCAAAACTTAATTTCAAAGACAATTAATTTTATGATACCAGTAGCAGCATCATTTAGTTGCAATATAAAATAAGATTTGTTTTATAAAGCTTATCTCTTAAAAATTCCATACACTTCTTTGTCCTACTTAGATTGGGTAGGGTTGGCATATTATTATTGATAGATTTTATTAATTTTATTATTTACATGATTTGTGCATGTTCATTTATCATCTTGGCCTGATTTCAGAGAAGCAATCTCATGTGTTCGCAACAGACGATTTTGCATCAGCTTAAATGAGGGATTTTTACATCAACTTACAGTTAGTTCTCTTTCTTCTTCTATATATTCAGAGCCCACGATCCATGTATTGATCATTCTGGCTCCTATGCATGTAGAGGGATTCGTTTTGTTGCTTAAGAGCTCCTTTCTTTTTTTAACAATTTATTTGGGGTAGTGCTAAGACTTAGAGTCTGAAATTTATGATGTCAGAAGCACTGTAAGAGTTTTTAACTAGCTTAAACCTTGATTACCAAGGCTTCTTTGACAATCTATTTGATATTTCTCCCAACAGGAGTATGAACACATCTACAAAGCCCAGTCACTGACTTACATTTCTGATGCAGCAGCACAAAACCTGTCTGGTAATTTATTTACTTGAATGAATGTGATTTTTGTACATCTCTTGTAAGACTTGCCGTGCTGAAATGTGTTGGATATTTTAGCAGCAGACGTTTTGGATTTCATAAATAAAAGCTTCAAAATTTGTTGCAATCAAGTTCTGCTGTTTAAAAATTAATCCTTTCAAGACAATTGTATGGAGTAATGGTATTAAAAAAAACAACTATATTATTGTACCTTGGATGATAAAAATTGCCTCTGTTGTTTGTTTTGTTTCACTTTAAAAAAAAACGTTTTAAAAAAACAACATTTATTTCTGTGAAGCTATAATGTGTCTAAAAACATTTTTTTTATTATCATACAATTTTCTGCACATGTGACATTGTTGTTTTGTTGGGACATAATTGATAGAGACTATAATTTCAGAGCCGTTCTTAGGATTTTGGGGGCCCTAGGCATGGAGCGTAGGTAGGGGTACCTGGAAGGGCGCGTCCGGGGGGGGGGGAAGAGCTCTCCTGGAGCTGAGAAGAAAACAGAATTGTGAAGTTACAAAATAGACCTCAGACGAGAGATTTATATATATGTATACACATGGAATTGCAAGTTGTAAGCTAAAAAAAACAAAAAAACATAATTGATAGAGACTATAATTTCAGAGCCGTTCTTAGGATTTTGGGGGCCCTAGGCATGGAGCGTAGGTAGGGGTACCTGGAAGGGCGCGTCCGGGGGGGGGGGGAAGAGCTCTCCTGGAGCTGAGAAGAAAACAGAATTGTGAAGTTACAAAATAGACCTCAGACGAGAGATTTATATATATGTATACACATGGACTTGCAAGTTGTAAGCTAAAAAAAACAAAAAAGCACCTTGCCAGTGGGGCCCTAGGCAGTTGCCTAGTTTGCCTGTGCCTTAGAACGACTCTGATAATTTATTCATTTAGACAAAATTTTGTAACCCTTAAGCTTACAAAGTCATCTCCGCCTGGCTGTAGAAGTTCACTTTGTTATCTATCATTTCAGCTAAAAGAAAGAGAGTTGAGATGGACATGGAAAACTCGCATTCCTCTCAGACCTTCTCATGATGTTCAATCACCTGCTCATCCCAGCCGACATTCAGCACAACATGAGATCATCATAGGCCACAGCAAATGCAACAAGTTCTGAAACCATCTCATACTGCTCCAGATAGAGCAACACTAGAATTGATTTCAATTTCAAACAACATTATGCACAAACATTTTTTTTTTAATTGCATCTTTGGCCACTTCAGATACAACATTTGGTCCCCCTTAGACAACTTCAGATAAAACACTTTGGTCCCCCTTAGACAACTTCAGATAAAACACTTTGGTCCACCTTAGACAACTTCAGATAAAACACTTTGGTCCACATTAGAAACTTCAGATAAAACACTTGGATACACCCTAGACAACTTCAGATAACTTGAGTCCATCCTCTACAGCTACAGATTTATCAGTGGAGTCCAAACAAGCAAGTATTGAATTCCCCATCGGTAGATTGCTATGACACAGATAAGATTTGTTGTGATAATTAACAGTAAACACTGGGTGAAGCTGTACATGTTAATTTTGTTAGTGTTGTGACATTTTCATTTATTACAATTGTATTTTGTATTGTGTTAGTGGTGAATTCAAGCCTGTCTCAGGGCGATGTCACTGGTGATTAAATCTGTGCCAACTCTCAAGATTGTGTCACTAGTGAAAGTGCATGTCAATTCTCAGGATGATGTCACTTGTGAATAAATTCATGCCAAGTCTCAGGATGTCACTTGTGAATGCAACGTCTCAGGAATATGTCACTAGTGAATACATTTATCCTTGTCTCAGGATGATTTTTCCGGTGAACAAAAATATTGCTGTCTCATTTGGATGCCAGTAACTAATAAATTAATCTTTGTCTCAGGATGATGTCACTAGTGAATAAGTTCACCCCTGTCTCAGGGAGATGTCTCCAGTATAAAAAAAAAATGCATGCTTGTCTCAGCTTGAAGTCCCTAGATGATAAATTCATGCCTGCCTCAGGATGATATCACCAGCGAACGAATTCGGGATAATGTCAGCAGTGGTTTCTGTCATAGATTCTTTCTTACTTTCTTACATTGTTCACTCTCTTATCATTGAAATGAAGGGGTAAAATGTTACATCAACACAAAGCAATCAAATAATATTTCCTAACATCCTGTCACAGACCATCTCTTCCATTTGAAATGCCACACACTTCACTTAATCTTGGCAGATGAGACTAGGATCATAATGTTATTTAATCCATTTCATTTGTGAGACATTCACATAATGATAGATAACTGTGGATAGATTATTTTTCTTCTGTTGCCATTTGATAGAATGTTCATTGCCTGTTGCCTTTTTTTAAATCAATGAACAGAAATATGTCAAATATATAAGACTGTCTGGTAGAGCTGTTTAATGGCCAGAAAAAGCTTTGTGGTTATAGAGTTTTAAAAAAAATGCAAGTTATGTCAAGAAAGTTCAGCACACCAAAATAGCAATAAATAATTTATTTAGTTTTATTATCAGTGTTCCTTATAAATAAATGCTACAATTGTGGAACTCTCTGACCCACTTAAGTTTCTTTATTTATCTTGTTGCATTTCTTAATGAATTTAAATTTGTTTGTGGTTGTGTTTGCCAGCAACAGTTATCAACTTTCTTTTAAACCTGCAATTCAATTTTTTAATTTTTTTTTTAACTTCCAAACTGGACCAACACTTACTGGTGGACACCTTTAACTGTAACTTTTGTAACTATTTGCTTGGTAGTCGCAGGTATTTTTTTTTTTACCACAAAAAATCAATTTGAAATCCTAATTGTGGTGGCTATTTATTTGTAAATTAGATTTCACTGACCCTTAATAATGTAATGTGACCTTTGATAAAATAATGATCCCCCCGCCCTTGACTATGTTTTTAATGGCCCATGAGTTTGTTATGGTTGTTTAATTAATTTTTTTTTGTTTTTGCTGGTAACAAACAGTTGACACTTTGGTTTTATTTCATATGTAATATTTTAATTTATCATAAATGTTGTTGACCACAGTTGAAACCGTGGTTTTAATTTGTATTACAAACTAAATATTTTAATTTACAATATATGTTGTTTACCAAGGTAGGTGTTATTTTGAAATATTGCAGATTTAAACACCTGCCCCTTTTTTTTTTTCCTTCTATTTTTTTTTTTACTTTTAAAAACATGCCGATATAATAATATAAAGTTTTTTATTGTGTGCTCTCGCGGTTACCTGCTCTAAAGGCTTTGTGGATCGAAAGCTCATAACTAATGCAGCATTTCTTAAACTTATATTGTTATATTACAAACTAAATATTTTAATTTACAATATATGTTGTTTACCAAGGTAGGTGTTATTTTGAAATATTGCAGATTTAAACACCTGCCCCTTTTTTTTTTCCTTCTATTTTTTTTTTTACTTTTAAAAACATGCCGATATAATAATATAAAGTTTTTCATTGTGTGCGCTCGCGGTTACCTGCTCTAAAGGCTTTGTGGATCGAAAGCTCATAACTAATGCAGCATTTCTTAAACTTATATTGTTCAATAGCCCATGTGTATATTTAGCAACCCTTTGAGAATCTGTGATAGATTACATCTTTGTGTTCTTGAACTGATGCAGAATATAGCAGGATATGTCTACACTCTACACGTAACAAGATTTGTTTTAAAAAATATGTAAGTCTTGGGAAGATGTATTGCACTCGGTATGGCTGGATGCGAAGTGCAGTGCTCCGCAACCTTTTATTATAATTTCGGCACACCTAGACCCTTTCCAGATCTTACGGCACACTACAATTAAAACTAGTTTACTCTGACATTGTCATTGACCCAGTGCCATGCAAATGGGAAGGCGGGCGGGGGCATCCACCCCGGGTGCCAACATCAGGGGGCATCCACCCCGGGTGCCAACATCAGGGGGCACCAAAATCGTCTTATGATAGGACCTTTATGGTGAATTAAGCTCTAAAATGCCTTGTACTTAACAAAGACATGCGGCGGTAAAATTTATTTTAGCCGGTCCGCCCTGGTAGCCACCTTTTTTTTTCATTTATATTGTTGGGCGCTATTTTCAGGCCTGGCCCCAGGTGATGCTTTTTCTCTGCATGTCCCTGTGTGTAGAATTATTTGTGTTTTATTTCTTATGTTAATGTGAAAGTAACACGAGACAGTAGATCTTTTTTCTTCTATATCATGTAATAGTACCGGTAAAAATACTGTAACATCAAATTGTTTTCACTTTTTAATGGTGCATGTCAATAGAGAAGAAACAGACAGAAAATATTTTTTTAAAACTACCTGTTCACTTTGATTGTTTTTTTCAACTGTATACCTGTTTAAAGGCTTAATTTTAGAGTTAATTTTGAACTCTGTATCTTAACTGCTTGAACACAAAGAAACATTCCCATTCAAAAATACAATTAAAATAGTCGTTTGATACCAATAAAAGCAGGGAATACTAACTGACTGATGACGCTAACATGATGAATACCCAACTTGCTGATGATGACGTTCATGTTAAAATTATCATTTTATTTCATTTTGGGGTTGGATGAATATTTTTTATAAGTTTAGTTTGTGTTGTGCCCTCAGTCTCGACAGGATGAGGTTTGGTTTGTGTTGTGCCCTCAGTCTCGACAGGATGGGGTTCAGTTTGTGTTGTGCCCTCAGTCTCGACAGGATGAGGTTTGGTTTGTGTTGTGCCCTCAGTCTCGACAGGATGGGGTTTGGTTTGTGTTGTGCCCTCTGTCTCGACAGGATGAGGTTTGGTTTGTGTTGTGCCCTCAGTCTCGACAGGATGGGGCTCAGTTTGTGTTGTGCCCACTGTCTTGACAGGATGGGGTTTAGTTTGTGTTGTGCTCTCTGTCTTGACAGGATGGGGTTTAGTTTGTGTTGTGCCCACTGTCTTGAAAGGATGGGGTTCAGTTTGTGTTGTGCCCACTGTCTTGACAGGATGGGGTTTAGTTTGTGTTGTGCATTTTGTTATGTTTTCATTTATCCTTGATGAATTATTACCTCAGTGGTGTAAAAAAAAATTCCAAACAACCAGCAAATAGCACCCAGTAAAAGTGTTACACATTAGTNTGTGTTGTGCCCTCAGTTTCGACAGGATGTGGTTTAGTTTGTGTTGTGGCCTCAGTCTCGACAGGAAGAGGTTTGGTTTGTGTTGTGCCCTCAGTCTCGACAGGATGGGGTTTGGTTTGTGTTGTGCCCTCTGTCTCGACAGGATGAGGTTTGGTTTGTGTTGTGCCCTCAGTCTCGACAGGATGGGGTTCAGTTTGTGTTGTGCCCACTGTCTTGACAGGATGGGGTTTAGTTTGTGTTGTGCCCTCTGTCTTGACAGGATGGGGTTTAGTTTGTGTTGTGCCCACTGTCTTGAAAGGATGGGGTTCAGTTTGTGTTGTGCCCACTGTCTTGACAGGATGGGGTTTAGTTTGTGTTGTGCATTTTGTTATGTTTTCATTTATCCTTGATGAATTATTACCTCAGTGGTGTAAAAAAAAATTCCAAACAACCAGCAAATAGCACCCAGTAAAAGTGTTACACATTAGTTGCGTTTGGCAAAATCCTGCGATCAAAGGCCAAAGCCACTGATACATGTTTTACTCATGGCGTTAGAAGCATCAAGATGTTGACTTGATCTCATGACCCGTCAAATTTTAACATACGGATGTGCTGTCCTATTTGACCTCAAACGTTTGATAGCTTGTTAAATAGCAAAGCATTGGCTCTTTAGTTTCAACAAATTTAAATCGTCATCACGAGTTTTCATTCCTATTTGCCGTGGCACACTGGTTGCGGAGCTCTGCTAAGTGCATATAGTAAATAAAAAAATTATGAAAGATACACATTTCATGAATGCTTCCTCATTTGCGTAATGCAAGTTTCTTGTTAATGGAATGGATGATCTCATCTCATTTATATAATTTCTTTTCAAAGTCATTTGCAGATTTTTTCAGTTTAAAATATAAATAATAGTTCAAAACTTTGTCAAATATATCATTTTAAAATATATTTGTGATATTAACACCATTATTTACCTTCTCTTTAAAAAAAAATATTTTTTATCTTAAAAGCATGGCAATTTTTTTTCATAGAAATAGGGAATAGAGTGCAGTAACAAGAAAATTGTTAGAGAGTATAGATATTTTAAATTGACCAATGGAAAATGCTTTTCATTGAGGCTTATCAGCCTATTCTTATATAATCAAGGGTAGTGTCTCTTCAGAGAAATACTAAATACTCTATTCAAACTCACCTGTGTTCATTTATTATTTTCATGAAGCTCAAAATTCAGAGTCTCATGATAAAAACTATGTTTTATTGCCAGGTAGCTATGTTAATCCTCAAAAATTTGAATGATGATGTCTAACGCTGTTGCACTATCTAGCATTAACCGAAAAATGAACTGTGATAAGTTAAAGAATAAGGCACAAATTTATTTAGAGCGTTTATATGGTGATTTTTTTTTTTTTTTTTGTAACTTCCGTCTGTCCAAGAAGGATGATGATTACAGTTATAATTACATTTTAATTTATTAAAAATTAATTTATTTAGGGCGTTTATATGGTGATTTTTTTTTTTTTTTTTGTAACTTCCGTCTGTCCAAGAATGATGATGATTACAGTTATAATTACATTTTAATGTATTAAAAATTCCATGTATTCTGCAATCCAAAGGTTTGTTCAGCAAGTATTTTGAATTATTAATTTTTAAAAAGTTAAAACCACATTGCAGTTATTTTAGCATATTTTTCTCTAGAACAGCAAAAGTATTTAAAAAAAAAAAAAATTACTGTACTATTTCATAATCCCCAATTTACATTTAACGTATTTTACTAAATAATTTATAGAAGATAACTTCTTCCTAAGTTTAGCACTGAATGAAAAATGTAGTTGTGTGGCATTTTAACATTTATTCTGAAATTTTGATTTTTTAAAGATTGTTTTAATTAAGTGAATGGTGCAGGAGAAAAATTACAATGTTATTGGGTATTATCTTTTTCTCAAAAGCCAGTAGGAAACTCATTTACTGACTCACTGGATTATAATTTAATTTAATTTAAATATTGTATTATTCTTTAAGTCTGACATCTAAATGGGTGAATGCTTAAGAAATTTTATTATGGTTAACATTTTTTTTTAAACTTTGTAAATTTTGTAATATTTCAATTGTGTTATTTTAATTTTAGATACAGATGTAAATGTCTGGTTGGGCATTTTAATGCTTGTTGGTGGAGAAAAAAATATATAGTTTTCATTTATTTCTTAAAAATTTGCTATTGGTATTTTGAAAGTGATAAGCAAAAATTCATACAAAAATAATATTTGTCAACAATGTTTATATAAATTGTATGTGGGAAAACTAACACTACTGTAAAGCAGAACTTTCACACTACAGTAAAATATGTATGTGTAACACCTTTACACTACCGGTACAATTATAATATATATGTGCAAAGCCTTTACACTACTGTATAATAAGAATTTGACAATCTGCAATTTTCAGTTTTATTTCAGAGATTTAATTATAAACAAATTATTCAAAGAATCAAATCATTTATTCACAATTCAAGGAATTCAATAAGGACCATTAAATGGGATAATACTATTCTCAGTAATCTGAAATGTAGTCTCTTTCTGCCCATAATCCCATTACAACCAGAATGTTTTTTGTAAACACATGCTGTAATTACTATAAATCATTGAAGATAATAGTTGCGGTTGTAATTAAATAAACAAATCCTAGTCATTGACTTTCTTACCGCAATGTTAATTCTGTAATACACTTCCTTATCATCCTTAGCTTCTGTTATTTTATAATATGAACCAAAATGTGATAAAGTTTCATCTTGTTTCATGACTTTCCTTTCATTAATATTGCCAGTAGTTGGGGTTTTTAAATGTGTAATGCAGCAAAATTACTAAGTTTTGTTTTTCTTTTATTGCAATTTACAGATACAATATTCTTGCCACCACTCAGGTAATTTCCATGCATAATTTTACATTTAAACATGCGCTTGCTGAAAAAACAAAAACTAGGTAGTTATGAACATTTCAGATCTCATCTGAGTCAAAGTAAAAAAAATTCTCACAAAGGTTTAGAGCAGAAGTTCATAATCTGGGGTCCACAAAGCCCCAGGGGTTCCATGGAGCCTCAGAGGGTCCATGGAAGACAGGTAAACTTTCAAGTGTGAATGAGGCAATCAACTTTCAATGAAATTAAATATATTGATTGCATACAAAGTTCTGCTTATCATGTCAATATTTTCAGAGGGTTCATTGCTCAAAAAGTTTAAGAATCACTGGTCTAGTGAAACCACTAACTCCATTCTTGGAAATTCTTCACCAAATATATGCATTTAGATATTTACAGTGTTACTTCAGATGTAGTGTGTAGTAGAATCTGACACATCATCATGACAACCAAGATCAAGGCATCTAATAGTAAATACCTTACCCAACTCCATTCCAGCTCTTCTTCTTAGTTACCGATATGAATTTTGACAAGTTCTGCGTTTAAATACTTAACACTTTATTATAGTTTTAGTTATAATCATGGGATTTTAATAATCATGGGATTTTAAGCCACACCAATGACTAATCATCAACATACTCTGCAAATAGGGAGGAAAAGCTATAAAAAATTGATGTTGGTTTCTCCGAGCTTGAAATTAAAGGCAGCCCAGCAATCAGAAATACCCATGTTTTTTTAAGCAGCATACACACATTATGCAAGGCTCATTTAGAGATGGTATGGATGTGTGTATTCATATTACTTTTGATTTATTTACAAGAATTGTGTATCTGCTTTATGGGTGGTGGACTAGCAGTAAAGATAGGATTAATATTGCAATGCATAAATTAGGATGAAGATTACCTCCATATAGTTGTTCATAAATTTCCTATAATTGATGTATTTTAGTTGTCATCCCTCCCCCCATTAGAAAAATGATCTTATGGATTTTTTTCCAAATCCTTTGAGGTGCAAATATTTTTTTTCTTTGTCATCTGAGTCTATTCCCAGACTTAAGCGTTAAATAAACAAATAAAATAATGTTCTTGTTTTTTTTATTTATTTCAACTGATAAATTGAAAAGGCTTTCAGTGGAATGCTGGTTTTGTTTACTAATGTAAGATTAGAACAACTTAAAGTTTATGGAGTTTCGGTTACAGTTACACATTTATTTTCTGTAAAAATATCTTTGTGAAATATTTAATGTGGTTTCTTTTTAAAAAATTTTGTAATCAGCATTCAAATTTTTAATATCATTTTAACTACAAATACAATTATTGGAAAATTCTAATACATTTGTTTTTGGGTTAATAATTAATCTTAAATTTCATTTGTACCTTTAATACCAAAAAGAAACATTTGAAATCAGTTTGAGAACTTTGCCATTGAGAGAAGTTAGAAATCATCATTCAGTTTATTCATCATGGCCAGTTATACATTACATTCCTTTTACAAAACTGAAGTATGGAATATGTCTTAATTTCATTCAGAAAGGTAGCCTTTATTTTAATGTCTCATTTGACATGGTAAATTACCTTAAAGGTGTGTATGTAGATTGAAGTGTAAATTAGCATTATAGCTTCACTGAGTTCCCAGTTGGTACAATGCAATATTTGAATCCACTCATTTGAAAACAAGATTTGAAAACTGGACTGTGACATAACAATACACCGAGCATTGAGTGACAATTAACAAATTAAAGCACAAATTCACTGCATGTTCAGTTACAGTAAAATATTTTTTAATGATCTTTCAAAAGATTTCCCTTCCAAAAATTGTAGAAAAACAATAGGCAAGGCTTTGTTGGTTTTTTTTTTTTGCTAATTTGTTTTGTGCTTTGTTTGGCACAGTTGTGTGGTCAAAAGATATCCAAGGTTAAAACAAAAATACAGTGGTAGACCAAAACAATTTACAAGAATGAGTAAGAGAAAAAAAATTAGCTGAAATAAGTAAATGGGTTCATTTTTAATAATAAAAGTTTTTTAATAAAAATAATTAAAATGTCATTTGAAATGGGGTAGCCCTACCTCAAAAAAACAAAAAAAAACAAGATGGAACAGGTAAAACTCTGTACGGGGCAGACCCCAGCTGTGGGAAAGGATTAGCCAGTTGGAAAGGACTCACCATCCCCAGTAAGGCAGCTATTATTCTTGGTAATGAGTAATCCCTGAGAAAAAAATCCTTCCCTAACTGGGAAATAAATAGGCTGTATAAGTATAAATCATAAGCTGACCAGGGCAAAAAACAACTGGCTTAATACCATTGGGGGTATCTTGGCACATAACATACTTTTTTCCCAATCTTACCAGGTAATACACAGCTGCCAGGACAAAAAGAAAGAAATGGGAATGAGAAGAAAAATCCATGAAGCAAGAAATGTTCTGGGGAAAAAAATTAATGCCTTTGTGCTTTTAATTAAATACCCATTTTTAAAATTTGAAACAATAGTTTCTTCTTAAAACTCAAACAGGTTGTTTAAATAACTTTTGAAATATTGAATCTAAAATGACTTGCCGGTAAAGTTGAAGCTCCAACTTTGATTGTTGCGTAAGAAACTGATAATCAAAAGGGTGAAAGAATTAGAATAGAGACACAATCGCCTCACATTATGAAAGGGGTTGTTCATAAAGGACGCCCGCAAAAAAATGTATATCTTTAACCCCTGGGGGGAGGGGGCACCCTGGTCCACAGTTGTCCACATGTGGATTGAAACAGATGCCAAAAAAATTCTGCTGTTGACCACAAATGACTCAAATGTCCTATAAACAACATGAGTGTTCATTGGACTGTAACAGGTGTTTCTAAGAAAATGAAAACTCATTTGAACATTGTGATGTTACTATAGTTTCTAGGTCTTTCTATTTTGTGATCTTGCCTGTCAGCTCTCAGTGTATAGCACAAATAAAACAATAATTAGACTTAGACACAGTTGTTGGCTTCAGCAACACTCAGGACTCACTTTTCTTTTAAAAAAAACCCTCTACATTCATCCATATTTGCACAAGTCAAGGCGCACCATTAAATGAGGCTACATGGATACATAGCTTTTAATTATCTTTTGGTAACCCTAATCTATAAATAGAAAATCTCTTGCTCCTGTCAAGATGCAGACAAACTTTTGCCTTTACATCATTTAAACAGTGAGCCATCTTATTACTGTACAAGAGAAACAACACAGCTGGACATTTGATGCCGTGCTTTGACACAGACTTGAATTGAGTGCCAATAACAAGGTGACACGTCTCGGTAACGCTCTCAGTGCTGCCAAACAAATAGAGTCAATATCATCTCAGTGCCGCATGTGATTGGGCAGTCCTCAGATATGTGCCGAGAGGAGAGTTGAAAAACCAGAGGTAGAGGGAGTACAAAGAAATACGAGCAAGTTGAATCCTCTGGCGTAGTTTGGTCCTGATGTAACATCTCCAGTCCTGGCACTGATCTAGTTCCCAGTTTGTCACTGCCTGTTAAGAAGTGAAGGTGGAGTTTCAAGATCAGTTATTAAAGAAACTCTACACTTTCTGCATTTTTCTCCCCCCCCCTCGATAAAAATATTTTAAAATTTCAAAACAAACCTCAACACAGCAACGAGACATGTTGATAAAGGATGCTGAACTGGGGCGTGTTTTGAGGGACGATTCGATGCCTCGGAGCACATCGTTGGTTTTCAACAACAAGAGCATCTGGCGAGGTACTCTTCCCAGTATGCAAGAAATGTCCATCAAATACTCACCAACACTCTCTTTGATTTCTAAATGCTGCAGACAAATTTTAATGTTAGAGCAAAGACTCCATAAAATTGTTTTTCTATTATAAGGCCTGGTAAATTGTTGTCCTATGTAATTTATGATTTATTAAACTGTAAGGTGGTCTTTCCTACTTAAGAGGTTTTCAAAAAAAAAAAAAATATGATTTACAGAAATATAATTAGTCAGATCTACCTAATTTTTATAATTATTTTTTTTTAAAGAATGCGTGTTACCCTTTCAGTTGTGAATACTCACACTCTTATTAATTTTAAACACTATTTAAAATAAGATTTGAAATTAATTGCTGATTAATATTCAGTTTTAAAAAAAAAAAATTTTTTAAATAAAAAGTAAGACGAAAGATTAATATTTATCATGTTTATATGCATCAGCCTTAGCATGGGATATTGTAAAACATTTTTTTTAAAATTTTCACATTGTCAATAATAAATATGAAGTAGCAGAGGTACAGCCTTTGGCAGTATTTACCCTTATGGGGCATCAAATTAATAACATAAGAATCTTTGAGAGAAGTCTGGGAAAATCTACATCCAGGGCCATATGCCTTTTATAAGAAAATGCACATGTCCAAATAGGGATTCAGTAGCAGTACCATACAGCCCAGTGCTGGATTGCACCGTGCTGCATCCATCATCTAACTAATGATGTGTAAGTTATGTCTCAGTGAATTCAGAACAGAACACAACATGTACCATCCCATTAAACTATTTCACATCCCAAACACCTTCCACGGAACCCTCCCCCCATGGCCCAAAATATGTTTCTTCCACTCTACACAATTTCAGGAATACAACTATCAAAAAAGACATTTATCAAAAAAGACATTTCACAACATCCTTCAATTTGCAGACAACTCACCACTCACGACAAAAAACATCTCACCACTTATGACAAAAAAATCTCACCCCTGATGACAAGAAACATCTCACCACTGATGACAAGAAACATCTCACCACTGATGACAAGAAACATCTCACCACTGATGACAAGAAACATCTCATTACTACAATAAGGATGATCACCTAAATGATGTCACTCACCTCTTCGTGGGTAAATTCCTTCCTGTCTATCCCTGCCTCCAGAGCCTCCCATGAGCGAGCGGTCAACATACATGCAAACAGACCGTACAGATCCCCGACATTAAGAGCGGCAGCGTACGTCTTCATACCTTCTACGTCTGCATTGATCATTGCCATCCACATTTTACTGTAGTGCATTCTGAATTCATCTGTCAGGGTCTAGGAAAGGGCACAAATGATATCACGGAAGTTTCATAAAGGTCTGACAGGCATAGATTGAGAATAAAACTTTGTGACACAATCAGTTCTGAACAAATAAATAATGTTGATATACTTACCTGACATTCAGTTCTGATCTACAAATAATGTTGATATACTGACAATCAGTTCCAATCTAAAAGTTATGTTAATACACTGACCTGGTAAAGGCCGTGGTCCAGTAAAACAATTTGTGGGCCATCCTTAGTTTTATTGACCAGCACATTGCCCGGGTGTGGATCACAGTGGACATAGCCTTGGACAAATATCATCTCACTGTACAGCTGACCAAGACGTTCTGTTATCTGGAAAAAATTTAAACATATTAAATTGTTAACAGATCATTCTATATATTTATTTATTATATATTTGTCACTTCATTGAGCACAATCTGGATTTGATCAACACATTTGCATTCTTTCTTTGACAATTCACTTAAGGAAAGGTACGGGTAAATAAACTGCAATTCTTTCTTTAACCGGGTAACTAAATTTTAACTTCACATTCGTCTTTTTTTTTTGTTGAGCAGGAATACAAGAAAATGTAATGTAGCTAAATTTGTAAGTGAGCTTATGATAACCGTACCTGATTAACTGAAATGTTATGTCTTTTCATATATTCTACATCATCCACTTTGCCACCTTCACAAAACTCCATGGTAAGCACTCTATCAGATGAAAGCTCCCAGTATATTTTTGGTACCTTGCAAAGAAAAAGAAAATAACTTGAGTGCTAGTGGTGTATAGATACTATTGCCGAGATTGCTGTGAACAAATAACTAACATTTTTTTAAAAGAACTTAACTGAAACAATTAAGTTTATCCATATTAGTTACTGGGTATTTCAATACCTTTAAAAACTTGAATTTTCTCAGGATTTTTTCAACCCTTTCACAGTTCTGTCCCTCATTCAAAAAATCTAGTTCAATGGGCAGGTTTTTCCTTGTTTCCTCAGCCAGCCATTGATACTGAAATTCTGGGAAAAACCAGCCTAAGGCATGAACAAGAAACTGTAGAAGGAGAAAAATAATTCTTTAAAGGAGAATATCCTGGGAGACTGTGTTCAAGCTGAGTGAAGAGAGATGTTTGATATATTTCAAGACAATATGGGAAAGCTGGAAAAAATTATTTTTATCAATTTTAACATAATAAATTCACAGATTTTATAATAAGTAAAAAAAAGTTAAAATGTTTAATAATAAAATAGAAGAAAGGATATTGATAATTGATGTTTATGAAAATATTTCTATTTTCCTTTCCATTGTTGCTACCCGGTAAGCAAACACAGAAATTTTTTTTAACCACTGAAGTAAATTGTGTGCAGTAAAAACATATAATTTTAAGACTTCTTTTCTCCATGCTAAATCAAAAAATCCTGAATTTACCTCCATTGTTTTAATGTCTACGTTGGAATGGGCCTTCACTTTTGGGTGTTGAATTTTGACAGCAACAACTCTGCCGTCAGACAGCTTGGCTTTGTGGACCTGAGCTAAAGATGCAGCCCCCAACGGTTCAGGATCAAACTCTACAAACATTTCCTCAACCTTTGATGGTGTGGATAAAACTAAAATATTTTAGGATATCTTTGTAGCAAGTTTTGGTTACGGTTCTAACAATGTTAGCTTTTGCTAATAGAGGGTCAAATTTAAATGAAATTACATTTTTTAATCACTGTATATTATATTGAAATAAAACAAATAAGTGCCTGTACTTTAAGATTAATTAACTTTCCTTTTAACGCTTAGAACACCTATGGCTCCAGTAATAAATATAATTTCAATGCCCATATGAACCACATACAAAATTTTAAAAAGTAAATTTTAAATTTTTTGTCTGCTGTTGAAGGCTTTTTAGCAGAAACATTTCATATTTAATTTTGTTGTCTTTCAGGTTTTCCCCTACTCTGTATGTAACATTTCATAACTCCTTTGGCCCTGAAGGGAAAGTCACTGGGTGACGTTAGCATTAAATAACATTGATTTCATTTTCATTTTGAAATGAATCTAACCTTCTTTCCCAAATCCTGATGGATGACAGCTTTTAGTTCCTGAAGGTCTGACTGAGGTGCTTGATTGTGCAGGACTTTCATGGTGTTGACATACTCTAAGGGTAGAAGGTACTCAAGTGATCCAACATGCTGCCCAACTTTAATGAAAGCTCCCCCATTTTTACAACACATTTCTCTTAGCCTAAGAGCTGACTTTAAATGTAACTGAAATTTGGGAAAATTCTAAAGCTACGTTAATGTTAAAAACTTTTAGATAGTCAATGATATTTTAACATAATTGAAATTCCTAACTGTTACTATCTTACATGATAGTGTGATTGATCAGCAATAAAGTTAAATATTAGTTTTTAACACTAAGTGAATACATTATATGAAACACAATTTCCCACCTAAATTTAAAATGTAAAATAATAATTTTTACAAAGGTCACCTATGCTCAAAGCAAAAAAAAAATGTTTATATAAAAGTTAAGTTTTAAAATCAAGTGAATACATTTGTCAACTAATTAAAAAAAAAAAAAAAAAGACAAATTAAAAGAAAAGAGAATTTAATTTATTCAAACACCTTGTGAAGTTAAAAAAAAAAAAAAAAAATTTTAAAAAAAATTAAATTTTAAAAAAAAAGGAAAAAAATTGTAAACAAAAAAAAAAAAAAAAAAAAAAGACAAATTAAAAGAAAAGAGAATTTAATTTATTCAAACACCTTGTGAAGTTCCTCCAAATACTCTGAATGTAGCTTGTCATACTTGTAAAATAGAAACTTGTAATCAACAGCTATTCTTGCTACCTTGAAAATGAAAAAAGAAAATAGTCATCACTGGTACTTCAGGTTATGTTGTTTCTTTCTTCCTTTTTTAAAAAGTAAATGGTTAACATTTAAAATGTTATAGTTTTCTTATTTTCAGACAATTAATTAAACAATTGAAACATATGTATCTCAGAGGCTTTTGTCTTAATGTAAAATAGATGGCAGTTTTAAATCTGCAAAATAAAAATGTTTTAGCCATCGTCATTACATCTTCATTTTAAAATTAAACTATAGAAACATATTATAAATAAATGGAGTAAGCCTATACAATAAACATTTTATTGGGACTTTTGTATATGTAAGGGACCATCCAAAAATGATGTCATGCAAATTTTGCTGATTTTTTAGACCCCCACCCTTCAAATATAGCATCACAAATCTCTGCACTCCCAACCCCACCTATAAAAATTCCGTATCCAGTACTTCCTTAAGAAATTCACCTCCCATGGATGTCAAATTAATGCACCTGTGTCAGAAATATTTCACTAGAACAGTGCTTCTTAACCAGGGGTAAAAGTACCTCCCCATCCCTAAGGTGCGGAAGACCAGAAATTTGTATTTGCTAGTTGTTGCTGCTTTTTTTTTTTAAAAAACAACGTTTTTATGCATTTTGATTAGCAGCAGTAAATGTTTTTTTCTGGTGAATTGTGTTTGGGCATTACTTTGCTATTGGTAAATTTTTTCCTTGTTTATAAAAAGTAAATTAAAGAAATAAAACTACGATAACTAAATTAATTATTTTCATATTTGAAATTTTATTACAATTTAATTTATACCATTGGGGGGAAGAACGTTTAAAATGGAGTGGGTCTGCAACAGTTCAATAACTGTTACTGTTAAGAATCCTTCCCTTAGAGCATTTACTAAGATCGTCCCCCCCCCACCCCACACACACACACCCCTGGTCAACCATTTTTTTCGTTCCATCCTACTTCACGTGGTAGTACTTATTAATGACTCTCGTCTCCACATTTTGACATTAATTCTCTCCCATGTTAATGTCACTACTACCTGATTCTCCTCCTAAGTGATTAGAGGCTTATTCTAGGACCTTGCATACCTGTATTGATTCTCTCAGTGATCGTAGTTTAAAAATAAAATAATATCAATTGTTGTATAAAAGAATAATGTTAATAATGTTAATAATTTCTGTAATTTAGTACATTCCACTTTTCATGTGACATCACATTTTGATAGCTTCGTCAGTAAGAAAAAAAATTAAGACATCAATGATAAATATAGTTTTACCGTAAGAGCTGCCCGACCAAACCGCACCACGCCAACATCATCCTTTTTGTTTGCTGTATATAAGACTCCACCAGATACAGCTAATCCCAGAATACTATATTTAGCAAGCTGTCTTATTTTCATTTTTTCTTAGCTGGATATGCATAAAAAAACATATTAATATTTAATATATTCAGTTCAATAAACTAAAATACAGTAAGGTTATAAAGATTAAAACATTGTTATTGAGTATAATTGAGCAGGCGCAAGATTAAGGTGACCATACAATCATACATAATGACATACTTTCATTTTTACCAGTATAATTATAATGGGTATAGTAGCCTACTGGTTTTTTTTAATTTGTCCTGAGTAGTCGTGAGTTTTAACTTTTTAACCCATATTAAATTATTTGCTTTATTCAGAAATTTGTTTAAAATAAATTTTGTAGACGAAAAAATGACTGACAGAAAATTGGGGGAACTGAATTTTGGTAGAAGACAAATTTTGCTGAAAGAAACTCAGAAACATAGTCTTACTTAGGAATATTCTTACTGGATAGGCGAAGCTAGTTTCACAACTTAAAATGAACGAAGCAGGATAAGCTGACCACTGACATTAAGTTATCAACAGAATTTCAATCAATGAAACTCAAAGTAGTCAACTCTGATCAACTCAAACTCAAGATTCACCCCAAAGTCCAAAGAAAAAGAAGTTGTTTTTTTCTAAAAAAAATAATAGAATTTTACAACCGGCCTATCCACTACCTAGCTGGCAAGTGAAATCGGTGTGAAATCGAATCTTCTCTGAGCATTTACTGTTTTAATTGGTGACCATGTCCATTTTTTATAACTATTTTATTAAAGTGTTAGGCTATTTACTATTTAGTATACAAATATTAGACTTTAGCCAGACTACGAAGGTCGCAAGTCGCAAGACTCAAATTTCATAACTAGAAAATAATTAGAGTGCCTTCCCTTGCTGTAATTACTTTTTTTTAAAAAATAATAAAAATTTAACGAAAAAATTAAGTTGAAGATTATTTTTTTTAAGGTGCAATCGCTAAATGCTAAGTTAGTGGTCCTAAGCCCTAGAAATTAGAAATCCAGAGTTTACAATTATGTTGATTTGTCTAATTTTGAAATTGAAGTAGGGCTAGGTCCATATTCCTTGTTTTTTCCCATGTTACATGGACACAGAGGGACGAATATTGAATATGATGTCGTCGCCTTAATTATAAATTAACTTACTTCAAAATTGTGCTAACAAATTTGAAGCTACGGCTACAGATGATCCTACAAATAATTAGCGTATCGCAGTAGGCCTACATAGTGAATTTTATTTATGAGAAATGTCAGAAAATTCCAAATGTTTGTAGTATTAAAAAGCTATTATATGCTTTTAAACCAATCAGTTACAGAATTTCAATTTGAATAAAATTTTGAGGTGCCATCCATAAAGTACGTCATGATCCAGAGGGGGGGGGGGGGTGGGAAAGTGGGGCCGTTATGGACGTGTGACGTCACACATTTATTTTTTAAATATTTTTTTTAGTAGAATTTAATAGCTTTAAAAATAATTTTCAAAAATTTTGTGAAACATTTGAATTAGTTTTATGACAAAATAGCATGAAATTTGTACCTCCTGAATGTTTTGTTCACGATTCCTCTCGCTAGGAGCACTAGTATGCTGTTGCGAAGCCTTGTTTTATGTAAGGTTGCATCTATAGGTGCCCGGGTACCTTTAATCACAAATAACTATTCGCACCGGGGTGGCTCCGTACAGATTAAATGACTTCGGAGCCGGGTGTGATAACAATGATAGTGTGAGAATTATTTTTTTTTCATTGTTTTTTCTCCTTGTTATTTCATAGATTCATAGTTTTATTCTTTTTAGTGTGTTTTTTTTTTGCTATGTTAATTTCTCTTAGGACGGGTAGATTTTTTTTTCTTTCCTATTTTCTTTTTTAGTTTAAGCCATTTTCGTAGATCATTTTTTTTTTTAAAATCTAGTAATGAAGATGATTTAGATACTAAATGTTTTAGATGATTTAGATACTCCACAGCGCCCTTCCTATGCAAGTGGATTGACTTTTTCTCGACAAACTTTCCTGCGGGCGCCCATGGTTGGTCAGCTCTAGTTTGATAGATGGCACATAATTATTTAGATGACACCTAAGTTGACTCTGGTTTGTGGTGAGTAAAATGAGAGGCAGTGTTAGTGATTTTATGTATCTGGATGGAACCAAATTGCTCTATTATTCATCTGTTTGCAATGGTGTTTATTTTGCTACTGACATATATTTCCCGCTTTTCGCCTCTTAGTCTTAGTAAATCACCAGCTATTTATTGAGAAAGAAATCGAAACTGTCACAAATTTTAAGACAGGACATTGACAATTTTATTTAAAGTTTTAACAAATATTTCCCACATAACCCCCACCCATGGGCGCCCGCAGGTAGGGGCAAGGGGGGCACTTGCCCCCCCCTGGATTGATTGGATAAAAAAAAATTAGACAAAAATAGACCAAAAATGTATTAAAGTAAAGAGAAAATAATGATGTCCTGTCCGTTCGTTCACCATACAAATACGCTACAGTAAATTAAAACTATATTAAAACACTACTAAAAAAATTTTCCCCCCCCCCTGGAAAGTATATCGATTTTTGCCCCCCCCCCCCTAGAAAGTTTTCTGCGGGCGCCCATGCCCCCACCGTCAAAATCCGAGCCACGTTCTGTCCGAAATGGATGCACAACCGTGTAAAGGAAAAGCAGCGCCGTGGGCGAATGCGCCCCCTGATATTGAGGTCCCTTGCGAGTACCACCTTTACATTGCTGTGCATGGATCCAGTGGGCTAGTATAGGCAAAAACGTGCCAAAGTGTCCTCGTTTTATAACCATTTTAATTGTTTCTATAGTATAGTAGTTACGATCCTAGTGTCTCATTTTTATTTTACTTAGTTTACATGTTTTTAATAATTGTAAAGTGCTTAGAGCTTTAAGGTAAGCGCTATATAAAAATGCCTAAATAAATAAATAAATATCAAAGTAGATAGATCTATAAAATGTTAAAAAAATTATTTAAATTTAAATGTATCCAATTGGGCAACCTTTATAAAGTATCTTCGAAGACAGAAGAGTTGTCCTTGTTTTTCCCACAATGGCGTCGTAAATGACAAAAGATTCATGAACTGTAGGCTACCTTTTTTTTTTATCTTGTTCAATTTTGTTAAATGGCTATTGTACATGAACAAAAAGACGCTATTTTAGACTTTAGTTCCATCAGGTGAAGAGGAAGTTTTAATTTTATATCACTAGAAATAATTAATCGTGCTTAAATTTCATGCAAAAATCGATACTTTTGACTTTTACTTTTCACTTTACCCTCTTTACAGTACTTTACTTTTCCTAATTTAGGCGTGCTTGAAGGCTGGCACATAATTCACATGGGGGGGGGGATTATTTTTATAACATGCTAATCAGTGTCATTAGTCCTCTCCATTTTCCTGTATGCCTGCGAATCCTGGACATTAACAGCCGATCTTGAAAGGAAAATAAAGGTGATGGAGATGAGATGCTTCAGAAGCATTTTTGGCATCTGCTATAGGGACCATATCTCCAATGAAACAGTGAAAGAAAGGGTTCGTAGGCAATTGGGGAGTACGATGACCTACTGGTGTCTGTGAAAAAACGCAAACTACAATGGTACGGCCACGTAACAAGGAAACAAGAGCTTGCCAAAGAAATATTGCAGGGGACCACAAGAGGAGGGAGAAGAAGAGGAAGACAAAGAAAAAGATGGGAGGATAACATCAAAGAGTGGACAGGACTAACACTGGGGGATGCAGTGGGTAGTGCTGATGACGGAGACGAATGGAGAAGGATGGTTCACATGTCATCTGGGACGCCCCAACGGTTCAAGGACTAAGGGACATGAGGATGAGGAGGATGGTTGTACGCCGAGACCCGCCAATTCTATGATTTTCAGAGACTCTGTGAAAAACATTATGAAGAGTTTGATAGGCATCAGCATGATTATGATTATGGTAATTTTTCCCGATAAAATAAAATACATTTTTGGTTGTTGAAGTTTTAGCACTTTCTAATAAAGATCTGGCAGTGAATGGAACAAGAAAAATGATTGGTTGTAATATTTTTTTAAAGTTTAGACAATCATATTTTATATTATGTTATGTACGCTCTGAGAGGGGAGGTGGGGGCTGTTGATTAAGGAGATTTTGCATATGAGACGCTTGGGGCTAATGGTAGTTGGGGATGCCACGACGTCTTTTTTCGGTGTTTACATGTGGGAGTCACTTCCCTTTGTATATTTTTAGATAACTAATATTTTTATGTACCGGTATTAGTATTAATTCGCCCGAGGAATGTTTAATATTATATTGTATTTGTCTCTTTTGGGTTTTTATTTTCATAATAAATGAAAAAAAGAAATATAATTTTTAAATATAGACATAAAATTTTATTTTATGTTCTATTTTGACAAAATGGTGAGAAATTATTTTTTTTTGTTGGGTACTTTATAATGATGCGATATAGAAAGGAGTGCTTAAATATTACGTCTATTGCTATTCTTGATTGCTTGACCGGGTGCCCGGTAAGTTCAAAATTGGTTGTTGTTTTTTTTTGCATCGTCAGCAGTTTTAGTTAGATAGATATTGGGTAAATTTTTGCAGATGGAGCCTGAATTTAACGCCCGTTTTTGGAATCGTCTGGAAAGTCAGGGCGAAAAGAGTGTGATAGATTGGCTCATGAGTACCGGTCTCATTGCAGATAGATAATAATAATAATAATAAGTGGTCTTATATAGCGCGGTACCCCGGCCTAGGGCTGGGCTCACTGCGCTGTACATATATAGCAAAGAGGCATAATCATAATATTAAAATAAAATACATAAATGAAATAAAAACAACATATAAGCAAAACAACACCATAGGTATATTCATCCATCCACGCCAGACATTTTTACAAGGAAACCCATGTACGTTTATCGGTTAGATAAATAGAGATAGATACGAATGTCCCAATTGTAAGAAGGGTATGAACTTGTGTGCATGGGCAAATGCTTCAGATGAGTTTGCATGGCAATGTGGTGACAAAAGTCATGGCAATATTGTGCATAGTTTAAGAAGGGGTCGTGTTTTAGTGACAGTAGATTGACGTGTGACATTATGTTATTGACACATTTTTGGTTAAGAAAAATGCCTTTGGGACATATTGCGAAAGAAGTAAGCATTTGTCGGGGTACCGTCAAAGACTGGGTCAGCTTTTTGTGGCTAGGTCTGCGTGGAAGCATGTGTTGTGATGAGTGAGAGCTTAGGAGGAGTGGGTAAAATTGTGGAGATGGATGAATCCAAATTCGGCAAGCGGAAGTATCATAGAGGCAAACACGTAGAAGGAAAATAGGTGTTGGTGGGATTGAAAGAGGATCAAACAAAATCTTTTTCAGGGTTGTTGAGAACCGCGGTAAAGACGTCCTCCTGGCAATAATTAAAGAATTAGTGCAGCCAGGAACCACAATAATTTCTGATTGTTGGAGGTCTTACAACTGTAGGGTTTCACCACCTGAGGGTGAACCATACAATTGAGTAATTTATTTGAATATATGTGGCGACACTTATGTGGTAATAGAGTTTAAATGAGAGAATTTTTAAATGCTATAAAAATTGTGTATCCTCCCCAAATACAAGATTCTGATGCATAAGGAGTGAGTAAAAAATTATTGAAATTTCATTGATTTTTAAAAAGATTTTGCTCGGGATAGATATAAGGTTAGGGTTTTTAATAACACATGTTTTGCGCTACTTTTTGAGCTACCA